GCCACTCCGAACTCACGTCCTGCCCCCCCCCCCCCCCCCCCCCCCCCCCCCCCCCCCCCCCCCCCCCCCCCCCCCCCCCCCGCAAGCCTGCCCGGTGGAGCTGCACAAGGGAGCAGCAACTAGACATCTTGAGAAGGCCGGGGAAGGGGCTAACTTGGGGGCCCCCAGGGAGAGCCCTCTGTGGACAGACCAAGGCCGGACGGATGTCTGTTCCCGGCTTCCTCCTGTGCAGGGACGCAGGGCCCTCCGTGGTCAGAGCTCCCGACATGGCTCCGGGACTCACACGGCAGTGGCCACGCTTCCCCACTGTTGTCTTGGGAGAAGGCAATCCGTGTGTCCCCTTTTGTCACTCACTCAGCTGGAATTACTGTGGGCCAGGGCCAGCCTGGGCACACATGGACACTCCGAAGGCCAAGGGCGTCATGGCCCTTTCCCATAACCCGCAGGCAATGGGAAGGGATGACACTGACACCCCAGAAGGCGGGCCGTCTCGCTGCCCTGTGGCGCTGGGGTCAGGGGGGCTTCCTGGAAGAAGGGACATCTCAGCCAAGACCCAAAGACGCAGAAGGTGATAACCAAGGACACGTGCCGATGGTTTCCGGGTAGAAAGGACGCAGGTGCAAAACCTGGGGGTGAGAGAGAGGCCAGTGCGCATTCGGGGAACACAAGTGTTGCCATCCGGCTGCCCTGTGGTGAGAGGGAGGGACTACAGAGCCAGGGCTGCGGTGGGAGGGGCGGGGCAGACCCGGAGGTGGCCTGGTGGCCTTGGGGGAGGAGGCCGCTGTGGTGTGGGGGAAGGCAGGAGAGGGTCCCACGACCTTCGACCTTTGACCTCCAGGGATGGCAGCTCGTTAAGAGGCTGGACTCTCCTCTGAAGACAAGACTTAGGGGGTCTGCTCAGTAACCCGGGGTGGTGGGGAGGGGTAACCCGGGGTGGTGGGGAGGGGGCTGCTCAAGGGCCTGCTGGCCTCTCCCAGCCTGGAAACTGTGAAGTGTCCCCAGCTCGCCAACAGGGTGACTCAGACGTCGGCCGCAGCCAGGGACACACACAGGCACACGCGCGCAGACACGCATGTACACACATGCGTGGGCACCCCATGCCGCACCCACCCCCACATTTGTACATGCATGTACACAGACCCATTCACATGTGTGTACACATGTGTGCGTCGCATGCACGTACTGACACACATATACACGCAGACACATGTATACATGTGTGCACACAGATACACAGACACGCATGAGCATAGACAGCCCCTCTAAGACCCAGCCTTGGTCAGAGGGCCTCCTCCCATGACAAGGTCCCAGAAACCAGAGCCTCTGTGCTCCGGGCCCCCCCGCCCTCTGGCTCCCTCTACCAGCAGGGTGTGGCGGGGCTGGCCGGTGGGGCCTTGGACTAAGTGACAAGCGGCCCTTGGACTAGGTGACAAGTGGGGAGAAAGGACCTCTGTTCGGCCCCAGCTTCCCCCCGGGAAGAGGTCGGCCATCTTCCTGCTATGAGACAGCAGGGAGACAGCGCTGCTATGCTGCTTGGGTGACGAGCTGCTGTACCACTGATGGCATTCTGGGACGGCCCAGAGCCCCCTGCCCAGTCCCCCTCGCCCGAGGGACGTTGTGGGTGGGTGTGCTTGGCAAACCGTACAGTGCCTGCCCACAAAAGGCCATTCTTCCGTTCTGCTGTGGCTGGGAGGTGCCTGGGGACCCAGCTCTTTGCCCCTTACACCCTGCTCTCCTGAGAGGCACCACTGCAGCCCCAGCCCCTCCCTTCCTGCCCATAGAAGCCTCTGCTCCCCACCCCCACTTCCCAGCAGAAGCGCTGGAGCCAGACTCCGAGATAAGGGGCTTGTTTTCCAAGGGCCCGGAACTCAGTGCAGATTGTGGGTCAGGGTCAGAGGGGCACTGGGGTGGGGGAGGGCACAATGAGCCTTTCCTTTACACGGCGGTCCTTGGGGCCACTGATCCCACAGGGACTTGAGGTTTCTGCCCTTTCAGGATGCCTGTGCCAGGCATGGGGGGGAGGCGGAGAGCTCCGGGGGAGCTGCCCCGACCCTGGACGCAGCTGCACCCCACCCCTGCCCCCTTCTCCAGCCAGGCTGGACTTCTCCTGAGACCTACCCCAAGCCTTTGCCTCATGTTCTGCCTTTGTCTGGCGAGCCACCTGCTCTATCTTTAAAAGTCAGTCCAATCACCGCTTCCTCCAGGAAGCCTACCCTGATGCCTCAACCAGGCCTGCTGCAGCATCTCCCCTCTGACACCCACCCTCTTCCTAGGGCTCCCCTCTTGGGCGGCATCCTGTCCCCACCCTGAGGACCTGAGCTCCAAGGGCAGCCCGCTCCTGCCCTCCTTCACCCCCAGACATAATCTGGAGCGGGCACAGGGCAGAACTCCAGTGACGTCGTCAGCGTCCTCTTCGATCAGGGGTGCCCTGATCAGAGCTGTGAATGCCTCTTCTCGTGAACTTGGGCCCCTCGGGACCAACTTCTTCGCATGGGGGACAGACATCCACGGCCACACTCCAGAGAGGGGAGCAGCCGAGTGGGCTGGGCACTCAGAGGGAGGCCTGTCCTGTGTGAGGAAGGGTTACGCTGCAGAAGGTCCCGTCTGGGCTGAGTCACGGTGCACCCCACAGCAGCAACGCCACGCCCCAGGGCCCTGGGCTGTGACCAGTAACAACGATCATAGCCGCAGTAAGAAAGTGATTACTCCCACGTAGCACTTGCCCACAGCCAGGCACCAGCACTAAACACATTAAGTCAGGGAATCCTCAAAACAGCCCATTTGGCAGTTAAGGAGACTGAGGCACAGGGAGGCGAAAAGGCTTGTCCCAGTCGCTCACCTGGTACGTGAGGACTGAGCCAGGTGGTGCCCTTCACTAATACCCTGCCCCTCAGTTGGAGGCAGCCCACCCCTCAGGGGCAGGGGGAATAGAGGAGGGGCTCCCTGTGCACCCCTCTAATTCTGCCTCCCGTTATACCCCGTGAAGAGGGATGCTCAGACCGGCTGTGCCATCTTCATATCCTGCCTGGCGCTTAGACAATGCCTGACACACAGTAGGTACTCAAAAAAATCCATATTGGAAAAAGCAAACGGCGGGATGTAATGCAGTGGTTCAGGCCCGGCCACGGCCTCGACAAGTGACTGTAGGTGTTAGCTGCGCCACGGCTCAGTTTCCCCACCTGTGACTCCCTCCTACACGCGCGTCTCGCACCGCGTCCACCCCACGAAGCCCGAACTACAACTCCCAGCATGCCTCGGCACCGCCCCCCGCCCGAGCTTGCGCAGTGCCGGCCGGGACGAAGTCCGAACTACAACTTCCAGCATGCCGCGGGCACTCCCGCAGGCCCTGGTCAGCGGCGGAGGCCGAGGTTGGGGAAGCCCCGCCGTCCCGGTCCCGGCCGCTCAGGGTGCCCTCGCCTGGGCGGGTCGGGGTGGGGGTCGGGGGCCGCCCCCGCCATGCTTCGTGGACTGGCTCGGGCCGCGGTCCAGCGGCACGGGGCCTTCCGGACGCGGGGGTCTGGGAGCGGGGCGGGGGTCCCGGTGCACGCGGTGGACCTGCGCAGCGACACGGTGACCAAGCCCGGGCCGGCCATGAGGCGCGCCATGGCCGAGGCGGTCGTGGGGGACGACGACTACGGCGAGGACCCCACCGTCCGCGGTGAGCCGCGAGTGCGGGCCGGGCCCGGGGTCGTCGCGGAGACCCCAGAGCGCTGTCCGTGGTGCTGGCGGGACCGGCGGCCCCGGGCGCGGCGGTGGCGGCCCCGCTGCAGGCCCGGCGGGAAGCGCTGCGGCCTAGCTGCTCGGTCCGGCCCATCAGCCGACAGTCTGTTGGGGATGCGGGTTCCCGGGTCCCACACGTGCACCTGCTGAACGGCCATCTGCATGCTAACAGGATGCCAGGTGATGTGCGTGCACGTTAGTGTCGTGTGCCTAGACTGCGGGCAGAGACGGGTGCGGTCCCACCTTGCCCGAGGGCTCTGAGATGCCCCGCGAGTGTGGAACACAAGGTCTCATACCCAGTGAATGGCAAGGCAGTGTGTGAACCCAGGTCTTTTCTCGAAAACCTGTGGCTATTGTCCTGGGTCCAGTGCCTTTCTGCACGAAGGCAAACAGAAAACCCGTCTAGATAAGAGGGTTTTCCACAGGCTGCACCTCCCAAGAAGTGGGCTCTAATAACCTAGGGAGTGTTTTCAAGTGACATGGTGACGGCACTCCCACGCTGGGTTGAGAGCTGCGGACCACTGCCATGGCTGGGGTGTGTGCAGCCCTCTGTTGGGCCAGGGACGAGCCCCAGGGGCCTGTCTGTGGGGCCAGATGGTGTCTGGTGATCACGTATTCTGCAGACACTACTGTCTCCTGGAACTTCAAAAATGCTGAGCCTACTGCTTAGTAGGCAGCCAGTTACACAGTCCCCACCATGCGGTGGGGGAAGTGCTGGGGCTGACATGTGTCCACGGAGGGTGCCTGGGGGACTGGGGGTGAGCGGAGGTGTGGAACTCACAGGGAAGGGGGACTTTGCAGAGTAGCCTCCTAAAGGGTGAGTGGAGCCCCCAGGCTAGGAAGGGAGCTGGTTCCCTGGGAAGTGAGAAGGGTGTTAAGAATATGGATAAGGGAATGTGGCTGGAGCGTGGGGGACTGGGGGCCCCCCTGTCCCTGGAGGTGAAGGCAGAAGGCAAATCCTACTGCCCTTGACTGTCATGCTTAAGGCTTCGGACTTGATGCCACAGGCAGAGGGGAGCCACAGCAGGCTTTAAAGCAGGAGCCAGAAGCCCCACTCACCCCCTCCCCGAGTCTCTGAGAGCTTCTGTCCTGTTCTGGGAGAGGAAGTCAGCAGAGAAACCGCAGGGCCCCACCTGCATGGGGCTGATGGGAAAGGAAGTGAGACAGGTGTGAGGTCTGGATGGGACGGGGGGGGGTTAAACCACAGTTTCAGTATGGGGGGAGACCACGGCCCAGGAGGAGCTGGGGGTAGAGGGTTCACTGAAGGGCCTCTGGACCAGATGTGCGGTCACCAAAACCACAGACCGTGCAGCTGGCAGCGCAGGGCTCCTGTCTGGCCGCTCACCTCCTCACGACACGGGCTCACGGTTACGAGTGATGCAAGGAGACGGCCACTGTTGACGGAGCCTCCCTGCACCCTGTCCCGTTCCTCCTCAGAGCTGCAGGAAAAGGCTGCCACGCTGCTGGGGGTGGAACGGACCTTGTTTGTGCCCACCAACACCATGGCCAACCTCATCTCTGGTGAGCGTGGCGCAGGGTGCCCCTCCCTCCGTGCTTCTCTCCTTGGTGCTAGGGGCAGGTCTGGCACAACATCCGTGGGGGCTTGAGCCATCTAGATTTCTGTTGGGCTCAGTCAGGAGGGCCCCTAGGAGGAGGTGAGGGAGGGGAGGAGAGCGAGGTCATGCTCCGCCCCCAGCTCCCTCCCCACAGGGTCTCCCTGGGCCAGGCGGTCAGCCCTCTCCACACTGCCCTGCCTCCAGGTTCTGGTGACCACACCCCCTTCTTGCCCCTATGGCCTGGGGTCTTGCACTGTCCCTTCTGACTTCCCTATATGCTGCCACGCCTTTATAATTTGTCCCTTTATTAAAATCTCTGGCTTCCCAGTGTGTTTCCTGCTGGGCCCGACAGGTGCCCATGCGCTGAGCCGCCTGGCCCCTAGGGCAGCACCGTGGTGGGCTTGCAGTGCAGGAGGTGCTCTGCAGGTGGGCCTCAGGGCACGGGGCACAACGGCTCACAGGGCACAACGGCTCACAGGATGGTCACCCTAGACCTTCAATATTAATGGGATGGTTTTCCCGGACATAACAGGGAGGTGACTCGAAGGGGCGCTGTTTCCTAATTAGCATGAGGCACTTGAGAGCTAGCGGTGCCCCCCGCCCCGGGGCTCAGCCCAGGAGCTGGGCGGGAGCAGGTGGGCCCCATGGCACTCACGGAGCCGACACTGCCCTCCCCCCGTCTCAGTGATGTGTCACTGCCAGCGCAGGGGCTCCCAGCTCCTCCTCGGGCAGGAGTGCCACCTCCACGTCTACGAGCAGGGCGGGGTGGCTCAGGTAAGGACCCGTCACCCCTCACCTGGGGCAGCACGAGCTGCTCAGCATTTTTGGTGGGAACCTGCTTTCCAGGCACCGCGATGGGACCTGCAGAGGGAAGAAATGGCCGGGTGGTGGCGTCTCTAAGGAGGCGGGAAGGAGAGCCATTCCCAGACTGACCACGCGGGGGCAGCCGCGGCTCCAGCCGCCACTCGGACACCCCGGCTGTGCTTGGTGTCCTGCTGCCCCCTAGTGGTTACCCAGAGCACGCGGCCCTTGATACCTCCCCTTCCTGGCTGGGGGGGGCGGGGGGGGCAGTAACGTCCTAACCCTCGGGCGGCAGCACAGGGCCAAGGCTCCATAGCCCAGAGCTGGGGATGAGCAGACAGGACAGAGGTAGGAGGTGACCCTGGGGCCCTGGACCTGATCCTCCATCCTCACCCCAATACCTGCAGATTGCTGGGGTGCACTCCCACCCCCTCCCAGACCTGCCGCACGGGACCCTGGACCTGGCTGAGCTGGAGAGCATGGTCACACGGGGCCACGGGAGCCCCTACCACCCAGTCTGTGAGCTCATCTGCCTGGAAAACACCCGCAGCAGCTCGGGGGGCCGGGTTCTCCCCATCAACTACCTACGCCAGGTAGGCCCTACCCCACCTCTGTGCTCCCCACCCCACCAGCCAGCTCCTGGCTTCCTGTCCCCTGGAGCCCCTCTGCGGGGACTAGGTCTCGGATACCCGCCGTGGGTGCCCCCCTGCAGCCGGGAATGTTGTGGGAGGGACACGTGTGGTCCTCGGCTGCAGGTGTGAAGGGCTTTATTGCCCCCACTTTAGGCCCCAGAACAGAGACCTGCCCCCCCCCCCAGGGAGCCCAGGGGAGCACCAGCTTGTGCATGAACGGCCGTGCTCCCAGTGTGGGAACCTGAGTGCTGTCTCTAGACCTGCCCCTGGCCTGGGAGAAGGGCTCAGGGCGTCTCCCTCGCGGAGCCGAGGTGCAGCATAGATAGGATGGGGCTCTGGCCACGGCACCCAGGCCCAGGAGCAGATGTGCCCGCTCAGGTCCCAGACGGCCAAGTTGGTCCCCAACCCAGCTCTCCTCACTCCGGATCCCCCCCACCCCCGGCAAGGCTCCTCAAGGAGTCGAACCCAGTGACCTTCTGGAGACCCATCTTCCCTCCGCTCCTGCCCCAAGCCGGGCCCCTCTGACTGTGGCCTGCCCTTTGCCCCCAGGTGCGCCTCCTGGCCCAGAGCTTCGGGGTCCGGGTCCACGTGGACGGGGCCCGGCTGATGAATGCTGCGGTGGCTCTGCACGTGCCCCCGGCCCGCATCGTGGAGCACTGTGACTCCGTGTCCCTCTGCTTCTCCAAGGTGGGGAAGCCGCCGGCAGCCCCCCAGACACAGGGTGATGGGGGTGCCCACAACAGGAGTCCAAGCTGGGTTCCTGACCTCCTCTGAGGGCCGCTGGGGGCCCTGGGCCCCTGGAGCCCCTCCCCAGATGGGGCCACAGTGTCCGCCCTTCCCTGTCCCCTCCTCATCCCCTCCCCCCGCCGAGAGGACAGGGATGCACGCCTGGGGGTGCAGACAGCCAGGACTCTCTCCTCTTCCTGCCAGGGCCTGGGCGCACCAGTGGGAGCCCTGGTTGGGGGGCCCAAGGACTTCATCGAAGGAGCCTGGCGCCTCCGGAAAGCCCTGGGCGGGGGGATGCGCCAGGCGGGGGTGCTGGCCGCGGCTGCCCTCGTGGGACTGGCAGACGCCGAGGAGGTGCTGCTGAGGGACCACCAGAACGCTCAGAGATTCGCCCAAGGTGCTGGACCACATCCCCCCCCCACTTCCGTTTGCTCCCAGAAGAGGGCCTTGGGGGTCCCCTGCAGCAGGACCCAGATCCTCATCAGGGGCACATCCTTCGGATTCTAGAACACGGAGGTTAAGCACTGAGCCACAAAGGGTGGGACCCAGGGAACGACGGCGGTTTACCAGACCCCCTGGAGCAGGTGACGGGTGCCAGGAAGCCCTCCACAGGTGTCAGCAATTATTTCCTCCAGGATCCAGCAGAGTCGAGCCTCTAACTTGGGCCTTATGTCTGCTAACTGAGCCCACGAAACAATCCCTTCATGCCCCCACTTTAAAGAAGAGGAAACTGAGGCCCAGAGAGGTTAACTGATCTGTCCAAGGTCACACAGCTAAAAAAAAAAGTAGCAGAGCCACGTCTGTGTGACCCCGAAGTCCGTGTCAGGATTAAGGGTCCCTCTTTTCCCCACTACGGTCGGGTGGCCCGCTGCCTTGCCTGGGACGACGGGGCTGGACGGTGGAGACAGTGGTGGGGACCCCAGGGCCGGGCTCCACTCACCACGGGACCTGGGCCCAGGGCTCCAGGAACTGGCGTCCCCTATCTGCTCCGTGGACCTCGCCGCCGTGGAGACGAACATGGTGATGGTGAGGGTGCACGGGCTGGCGCCCCGGGAGCTCTGCCGGCGTCTCCAGGCCGTGAGCGCAGACGAGGCGGCGCAGACCGGCCGCGCGGTGCGTGTGTTGCTGTCCCCCTGGAGCGAGCGGTCAGTGCGCGCCGTGTGGCACCGCGACGTCTCCGCGCAGGACACCGAGCTGGCGCTGAGGAAGTGGGGGTTCGTGCTGAGGCAGCTGAGGGCCCTGAGGACGGGGTGACCGGCCCCTGTGCCCCAGCCCGGATCCAGGTGGGGGTGGAGGTGTCCCGGGGAGCAGGTGGCATGGGAGACAGTGAAGGACACCCCGTGTCCCCCTTGTCTCCTTGGACCGCTTGACTTCGCGCCCGCGAGCTGAAGCCTTCCCCTGGCACTCGTTCAGCAAGCCCGGAGCGCCTCCTGTGTCGGGGATGGGGACAGGGACGGGGTGCCACGGATGCAGACAGGCGGGACCCCCTTCCAGCCCCTCACCAGAGCCCAGGAAGCCCCGGGGGGGGCCTCTGCTCCCAGCGCACAGAAAAGGAAACAGCCGCGAGCCATTTGCTCAGAGTCACACAGTTAATGAGCGCATCCCGTGCTTGGGGACGGGGGTGGGGTGGGGGGTTGGGGGGGAGGTGACAGGAAATCAGAAAGGGACAGCGGAGCACTGGATGGCAAAGAGCAGTAATTCCCGTGTCGGGGGGCTGGGCTTTACGCTGTGTTCATCTCTATGCATTTTCCTTTTTTAAAAATAAAATTCCTGGGGTGCCTGGGGGGGCTCAATTGGTTAAGCACCCGACTTCAGCTCAGGTCATGTTCTCACAGTCCGTGGGTTCAAGCCCCGTGTCAGGCTCTGTGCTGACAGCTCAGAGCCTGGTGCTGCTTCAGATTCTGTCTCCCTCTCTCTCTGCCCCTCCCTACTCACACTCTGCCTCAATCTCTCTCAAAAATAAACACTAAAAAAATAAGATAAAATCTCCTGCTTACAAAAGAATACTATAAATAATTTGGGATTGGATCTCTTTTTTTAGCAACTCTGGCGGTTATTTAGGCCCACCTGCAGACAGGGAGGCAACCCCTCGCACTCCCCGCCCCCCAGGGAACCACAGGAGTCGAGTTAGAGCCTCACAAGCTGAGAAGATCCGCATGCAAAGCCCCCTGATCCAGGACCCGGCGTGGGGGGTGGGGGTCCCTCCCACCTGTGCTGACCTGCAGGGAAGGAGCTTTGCTGGGTTCCCAGAAGGCGTCTCTGGATGGACAGACACACAGGACATTTCCGGATGGATGCGCACGCGTGTGCGCTTGAGCGCAGACACACACACACACACACACACACACACACACAGAGCTGGTACCAAGGTTATTGCCTTCGCACCTGTTCATAAGCCACACGTGCGTATTGTCTATTCTGAAACCAATTTTCAGAGAGAAAGACAAGGCTTTTCGGCACACAGCATAAACTGATTTATTTAAGGACAGGCTGGCACACTGTCGCTACGTGGAACGGTAAATGCTAGAGCACAGGTGGGAAGGGAAGCCCTGAGGGGGAGCCCCCAGTGGTGTAGCCCTGAGGGCTTCAAGCTTCCCGTCACCTGTGGAGCAGGAAAGGGAGGCTGGGGGAGGGCAAGAGGGGCCACCGAGCCCCCGCCAGCACACATGCCAGGCTCAGGAAGGCCCTGGGCCCCTGGGCCCCCCGACTTCTCTACCAACAGGAGAGGGAGCCTGTCTCCAGATGACCCAGGGTCTGCGCCCCGAGCCCCACCCGCCTCTGCTCAGGAAGCCTGCAGGCCGCTCTGGGTCACCTCGCCACCTGCCGCGGCTCCCCCACCCCCACCCGGACGTGCACATGCGCTTGCTCAGGGCGCCCAGACATCCGCGGGGAGCTGCAGATGGGAGGTCTGGGGTCCCGGAGTACCAGCCCACCGGAAGCAGCAGCCCCACCAGGCCTGAGAGCAAGGCAGGGGGCAGAGGTGGGTCCAGCCCACTCAGATCCCTTTGCAGATCCCGGGGGGCTCCGGGGGCCCCCTCCTCAGTATCCTCCCCACCAACGCCTGTCCTCGAAGACCAGTGGACAGAACTGAGGCCTGGGAGTCCCCCCCCAGCCTGGAAGGGCATCCGGCTCTGCTGTTTGCTCCGGGATGGTCGGGGCCTCAGACTTCCCTTCTGTAAAATGGGTGAATGGAGACTCATGTGAAGGGTACCCGGAGGACCGGACAGGCAGACGAGCGGGCAGCACGGAGCCTGACTCGGTGGGTGTTGAAGGGATGGATGCTTCTCTCTCAAATCACCCCTCCCCAGGACAAAGTGTCGCTTCTCCACGTGACCCAGGGCCCTAGGAATGAGGACAGGTGGCTCCACAGGACTGACAGGAGGGCCAGTGCAGGCCATGCCCGTGAGAGGCGAGGGCCCGCTGAGCACCCTGGCCCCTCTCACAATCTCCTGGGCCCTGTGCTCTTACTGGGACTCCTTTCTCATCCCTAAGAGGAGGCCAAGCCAGTTAGTCCCTAAAGGGCACAAACCAGGCATGGGAGGCCCCCTAACATCTGGCTCTGCCAAGCAACAGGAGACTGGACCCTTGGCTCTGCCCCCTGCCCCCCCCCACCGTGCCCTCCCAGCCAGGACTCCAGCCAGGCCTAGGGATGCAAAGGGAAATGGCGCCCCTCCCCCCGCTGCCACTCAGATGACCACAGAGTGGGGCCCCCGGCTGCCGGCTCAGGCTGAGGGCTCGGCCGCGGTGAGCAGCAGGACGCCGCTGAGAGCCTCGGAGGCGCAGGAGCCCCAGGGCTACGGTCCTGCACATGCCGGGGCCGTACTGGCACGCGGTCTCGGCGAAGGCCAGGTGCGAGTAGCGGATGTAGATGCTGGCCCCCGCCAGGGTCAGGGCACCTGGGGGAGGGGCAGGGCGACCGCTCCGTGGGCCGAACGCGGCCGGCAGCTGCCTAACCGGGTCCTGGCCAAGGCGGTCCCGCAGACACGGCCTTGGAGCCCCTAACACTGGCCTCTGGGGGAAACAGGGTCTCCTATTCACTTCCCAAACCCCTGGACCTCAGCCCACAAAACCCCCTTGCACCACCTACACCCCCAGCAACAGTCCTGACTCGCATAACTGCCTCTATATACCAGCGCCCTCCTGTATTCCCCAGAGTCCCCAACACACATGCGTGTACCGACACACACGAACCGACACACTCATGCACACCAACACACACACCCCGACACACGCACACAGACACACGTGCACACACAGGAACAAGCACACACACAGACACACCCCCACCCATGTGCACACACCAACATACGCATGCACCGGCACACGCACACACACCGACACATGCACACACAGAGACACACCCTGACACACACGCACTGACACATGTATACACATGTGCACACACACTGATACACGCACGCACACTGACCTGCACGTGCACACTGACACACCCACACATACACACACAGAGCCAGTGACTTCTATTGGCAATCAGTGTCCTTGCACTTCCCCCCACTTCATCGGGGTACCCCCCCCTTCTGGCCCTAGCCCAAGCCTCCAGCCTCTGCAGGCCCTCTCCCTGCGCCCACGGCCTGCGATCCAGGCCCCGCCTGCCTGATCCCCTGAAGCGGGCCCCCTCCTCCCTCTGACACTCTGACTTCGCACAGGGTGCTGGGCACGCTAAAAGCTGCACATTGGGACGTTTTCCTGTTCACCCCGACTCAGAAGGCCCAGCCCAGAGAAGCACCCGGTGTCCCACAGCGACAGGCTGACATCAGAGCCGGCCCTTGGTCCCAACCACAGGGAAAGCTGGGGCGGGGGGGCGCGAGGGTCCTGATGCCCCACATAGGCACTTCCTGGTATGGGGCTCCCTCTGGACTCTGCCCAGCCGAGGCCAGGAGGCTGACCAGAGCTGACCTTCAGGGCCAGGTCTGGATCTCCCTGGGACCCGGAGAAGGGGCGTAGCCCTGGGGTCCCCATATCCCGACTCTCCTCCCGGACCTCTGTGATTCCTCGCTTGACCAAAGAGACGGGAAGGAGGGAGGCAGGAGGCAGGACATCCACCCCAGCCGTCAGCGGAGCCTCAAGCTGGGCAGTGGCGGGAGAGTGCATGTCTCAGGGGAGGCACCGGTCCGGCTGGCGTTCACCCTCGGCCCCTCTGTCCCTCCTCCTCTTCCTGTGGGGGTGGGCGTGGGCCAAGCTGGCCTTAGGCAGGTCCCCTGGGTGTGACATTCCTGCCTCTGAGCCCCTAGAGCTAGTGTGCCTGCCCCATGGGCGGGCTCCCGTCCGTGAGATCAGCTGACCCATTTCTGGGGAGCACCCTCCATTCCCCTGCAAGGAGAGCAGTGGTGCAGCCAGACGGGACCCTGGGCGAGGGGAGTGCGTGAGGTGGTCTTCGAACCAGGCCCTGGCTCCACCTGCCGGCCAGTGCCCCCGCTCAGAGAGCGCAGTGCCGAGGTTTCCTGGGTATGGCCCCACCCTCTCGCTGGCTTCCTGAGGGCCTCTTAATTGGATCTGGACCCACACAGCGGGTCTCTGGGGTCAGGCCACAGCTGACGTTCTGATTTCTCCTGCTTTCGTTCTCGAAAGCACACGCACACCCGGACTGCTGGTCCTCCGGGCTCTCGGCACCAGGCAGGCCGCCTATTCCCTCTTGACCAAGGCCTCCCACAGGGCACGGCGTCCTCTGGGGAGGAGGCAGTCCTGCCCGAGAGGGAGCCCCAGGCCCACATGGTCTGGGTCTCAAGCGCCATGGCCTTGACAGTAGAGCCGGCTCGGATGCCGGACTCGCCTCGGACCTCACCCCCGACAGCACAGGCTGCTGAGCACTGACCCCGAGGGGCCCCCGCCCACCACCAGCTACCGCCAGCTGTGGGCAGCGGGGGGTACCAGCTGGCTGGCAGGGGCTGATGACGCCAAAAAGCAGCGAAGCTTCCTGCTGACCTTGGTGAATCCTTGAAAGTCTCAGCTGGAAGCTGGGACCACAGAGAGGCCACGGCTGCACCCCTGCAGGAGGGCCTGGCCCAGTGCCCGGCACAGTCTAGATGAATGTCAGCTGATGAACTGTCACCAGTCATAGTCGGGGCTCGGCTGCGGTCACTGCCGAGGACTGTGACTGCCTTATAATGCCTGGCCCTGCCCACTCCTGCTCCTTCTACCCGGCCCGTCTGGGGAGAATAGGTAGGGGTCAGCGTGTGCCCTTCCTGCGGGTCTAGTAGGGCAGGTCCTGGGGTCGCCTGGGGGAGCTTCATGCTCCCGTGCTTAGAAGCTCAACCCTGGGGGGGCGCCCGGGGGGCTCAGTCGGTTAAGCGTCCGACTTCAGCTCAGGTCATGATCTCACAGTTCGTGGGTTCGAGCCCCGTGTTGGGCTCTGTGCTGCCAGCTCAGAGCCTGGAGCCTGTTTCAGATTCTGTGTCTCCCTCTCGCTCTGACCCTCCCCTGCTCACGCTGTCTCTCTCTCTCTCTCTCTCTCAGAAATTAAAAAAATATATATTTTAAAAAATTAAAAAAAAAAAAGCTCAACCCTGGGGCTCCTCCATCCCGGGACCTTGGCCCACAGCCACCCCCTGTCCCCGTCCCCATACAGGCCGCTGCCGCCCCAGGTGCCTTCCTGCTGCTGCTCGATCCCCAGGGTGGGCCCGGGTCAGCACAGCCCAGACGGGAGCAGGGGCAGGGTGGCAGGAGAGGAGGCACCCGTCTCCCAGGACCCATGGCCCCTGGGGCGCCCACACTCACCCCCCAGCAAGAAGTAGCAGCCGGTGAAGAGGAGCAGGAGGGTGCTCTGTACCAGGGAACTGAAGAGGCCGCAGACCCAGCCGCACACGACAAGCACGAGGCTCAGGGGCAGGACCACCATGACAGCTCGGTGCAGGGCTGCCGGGAGAGGGGGCTCAGGGCGCGGGCCGGGATGCGGACCTACCCCCAGGTCAGACCCAGGGGGCCAGAGTCCTGGCTGCCTGGGGGTCCGCCTTCATAGGACAGTCTCGCCCGGAGACTGAGGAAGGGACAGGGGTGACTCGGCCCCAGGACTCACAGATGAGGTGCCGCTCTGAGGCGGAGGCATCCAGGCTCTCGCTGGCAAAGGGGTCGATCAAGGGGATGCAGCTGTTCTGCCCTGCAAAGCAGAAAAGGACGCAAAGCCCGCTGGGCTGGAGACCTGTCGGGCCACCCCCCACCTGGCATTTCTCCGAGATGGGTGGCCCTGTGGGCACGCGGCGTGGTCCCTGCCACAGCCCAGCGGGCAGAGCAGTGGCCACAGAGCCCCGTCACATCCTCTCCTGGACCCCAGAGTTGTGGCTCCAAATGGGTTCAGAGGGTTGAAGACCTTTTATTTTGTTTCTGTAACATACACACGACTCCTACACGGACGTCTATCTAAAATTTCACACTGGAGGCTGCTGTCCGCACTCCCTTAAGCCCGGGTCTCCGAGCGTGCTCACACGTGGCTTCACCTGCACAGGAAACGGTGCCGGTAATGTGGTGTCTGCCTCTTGCACACACGTGCACACCCACCCATATTTGGAGACACACGGGCACACACATGCACAAGCGGGAAGGGCTCCAGAACATGAGGTACAGTCTGTTCAGTGGATGAACAAAGAGCTCTTCTTTCCCTCCCAGCTGCCACCAAGGAGGTGCAGTCACACGTGCGCACACACACACGCTCACTCAGTCACACACACTTATACATACACATTCATAGTCACCTACACACACGTGATCACACATTCAGATCCATACACACACGGACACATGCTCACCACACACATTTACACGCATACGTGTGCACTCACACTGACATATGTCACATGCATGCACACGCAAGTTCACATGCTCTCGCAGATCCTGCTGCCCGCACCCCCTCCCCCGCCGCTGCTGGTTCTGTGCCAGGGAAGCCCTCCGGAGGGAATGCCCTCCTCTCTGGACCTGGCGGCGTCTACACAGGTCTGAAATGCATGTAGTGCCCCTGTTTTGTGCCCGTGTGCACGTCAGACGATCGGGGGGGGGGGCGCCGCGGTGTGTGTAGGGATGGGCAGGTCTCAGCCCAGAGCTCTGGCTGTGCCTGGCTCAACCCTGGGGACAGCAATCAAGAAACAGCTGGTGGTCACTTGGATGAGAAGCACCTTCCCAGAGGCCCCACGCCCTCCGTGAGGAGGGACAGCAACAGAGTGGCCCCTGGGTGCCCCCGGTCCCTGCCTCTGCCCCCTGCTTTCTCCCCCCACCTCCCCTCTCCACCGCGTTTGCATCCTGAGAAGATTCAGTTTCTCCCTATCGACAAAGACTTGGAGGCTGAGCAAGGGCAAGGTCAGCCAGCAGCTAGCAGCAGAGCCCACTGAGAACCTGCCAAGTAATGTGCTGCAGCTTCTAACACAAGGCCCCCCACCCCGCACACACCAGGGCGGGCGGGGGACTGCCCAGGGCTCCTGCTCCCCAGGCTCTTGGGTCCTTAAGGGGTCCCACAACGCCCCCAACCCCCCAAGACATTCATTTCCCGCGCCTGCACTGGTAGCCCGACTGTCACCACCCAGGCAGTTCTGGGAGGGGACGGAGGTGGCGGCGTGCGGGAGGGGGGCGCCGCCCTGCCCGCGCCCCGCGCCCAGGGCCCGCCGCCGCCCGCCGCGTACCTTCGCAGACGCGCCAGAGCCCCCAGTGCGAGGACAGCCGCGCGGCGCGCCCCGTGCGGTTGCCGGCGTCCGCCACCTCCAGGACGCACCGGTAGTCGCTGGCCACGGCGGCCGCCAGCAGCGCGAAGCTGAGCAGCGCCCCCAGGCCGGGCCATGCGGGGCCCGGGGTGCGCGGTGCGGGGCCCGGGGGGGGGCCGCGGGAGTGGGCGAGTGGGGGGCGATGGGGAGCGGGGGAGCGGGGGAGCCCGGCCGGGCAGGGGGCACCCGGGATTTGGTGAGCGGGGCAGAGTGGGGGGATGCGGGGAGCGGCGCCTGGGATTTGGGGAGCGGGGCGGAGGCGGGGTTGGGCGCCGGGAGCGGGGGAGGGCAAGCCGGTGTGTCCGCTCCGAGGCTCTTCGGGACGCGGCTCCCCCTTTTCTGCCTGCGCACTGGCCTCGCGATACGCGCCCCCCCAGGTTCGCAGGAAGATCGGTCCCACCTCTTGGCGATGGCGATGGCGATGGCGATGGCGATGGCAGAGCTCGGCCCCAGGGGGCAGAACGGTCTCAGAGCCGCAGGTAGAGCTGCTGCAGACCTGGGTTCAAATCCCAGCGTACCGAGGAGCTGGCCGCTGGCCTGGATCCTGGGCAAACGTCTTAATCTCTCTAAACCTCGGATTTTCAGCCTCCAAACGGCCAGGCTGAGGAGGAGGAAGGGTGGGGCCTACGTCGCCCCAGGCGGGGGCTTAGCAGGCAGCTGACCGCCTGAAGAGTGGGAGGCAGCCACCCCGGCCGGGGCACTTGGCCGCTGGCTGGCCCTGCGGTTCTGGTCTTAATCCGCGTCCCTCTAACCGGAGGGATCCGGTGAAGTGGGGCGGATGGGCATAGGGCCTAGGCAGGCTGGCGAGGGGGCCACAGAAGGATGAGGTCTTGCTTCCAGTTAGCTTCTAATTACAAATGTCACAGGGGCAGGCCGGGCGCTGCCTGTCACTCACTCAGCAAACCGGCATAACCCGCATGAAGCACCTCCTCTGACATGGGCCAGGCACTGTGGGTGGGAAGCAGGGGTCTCAAAGGGCCCCCACCCAGGAGCAGGCAGTGACTTGCATGTAGGGAGGGGCTGTCTGGGGTGCAATCGTGGGCGATGGGAGGGCCTCCTCTGGGCCCCTGGATGGTGGGTGGCTGCCCCACAGGGCTGGGCAGAGGCTGCACACAGGGCCCGAGGCCCGAAGTCCACATCGTCACTGAGGGTGGCCCTCCTGGGACCACGGAGATTCGTGACCTGCGGTCACCCCAGCCTCTCGTTTCTGCGGGTTCCAGCCCTTTCTCCTCCACCGGGTTTGAGGAATGCAGTCAGGAAGCCGTCACTGAAACACCATCTCAAGCGGCATTCAGAGCCCAGGGAATCATGTCGGGTCCCTGCAGGCGGTGCATCCTTCCAAGGCCGGGTTGGGGCGCAGAGCGGGCCTAGGGGCTTCCCAGCTGCGGCAGTGTGGGTGCCCCCAGCCCTGCTCTGAAGCTGGGGGGCAGCCGGGGTGGGGGGCTTCTCTCTCAGGGGGCACTGGGCCTGGCGGGTGAAAGAATTCAGCAAGCACATAAAACAGGTGTTCAGGGCAAGACAGGCATCTACAAAGCAGGAGGTGAGAAGGGGTGCGGAGGGAGGAGAGCATGGGGGTGGGGCTGGGTCTCTGCGGGAGAACAGCGGGGCGGGGGGGGGGCGGGGTGACTACTGGCCCTAATATTTACCCACAACGTGACAAGGACCAAGACTGCTTGAGCTGGGCCGAAGCTTGGCTGTGTGAGGGATGGATGGAGGCTGGGAGAAGAGGAGGCGCCCCTCGGGCCGCACCCCACACGCCCCTCCCCAGTGCCGCCCTGCCGGTCAGCCCGAGCTGGTTTCAGAGGGTCTTCTCTGCAACCCCATGAAACAGGATCCTGGTGTCAGGGTCAGGGGTGGCACTTCTGGAGGCTACGGGTCCCACAGAGCCACATGGCTCTGGACAGGAACACAGTCGCCCCCACCCCCCAACTGCAGTGTAGACAGCCAGGGTAGCAGTCTACGCCTCACATGCTTTAAAGTGCAGTGTTTTAAGCCCAATGTGAAGGCGGAGCCGCTGACTGGACTGTCCCCAGGCAGTAAGCACTGGCCCCCGAGGGGCTGCCTTGATGAATTCCCCGTCTCCTTCCTTGAGATGGACCCGAAGCACACCCTAGCCGGACTCTGAAAAAGTGCCACTTTGGAACGACCCCTAGTTTTCACCGTCGACTCCTAACTCCCGGTTAGAGCTGTCGGCCGGCCACCTGGCAAGCACCGCGTCCATCTCCAGGGTGTCGGGGCCTCTTCCAAGTTAGCATCAGATGGCTGCTGTGCCACCACCATCAGGGACAGGAGGGACCCAGCCCTAACTGGGAGGCGGCCAGCATCATACCTAGGTGGTCTCATCCCCAGGAACTGACAGATTGACAAAGGGCCTGTCACTACCAGCTTGGACTTGGCAGCCTGTGTTCGGTGAGCCTGGAACCTCGCAGAACACCCCTGCGGTCCCCAGAACGTACGCTTCCATTCCCTCTGCCTGGCACACCTTTCCCTTCTTTGATCATCTGGCAGCCGCCTCCCTGGTCCTGGACAGACAGCCCAGTTCTTTCCCTCCCACCCAATGCAGAGTTCATGGTCTTCGCAGCCTCCATGTCACAAGACTACTTGTCGGCCTTGGTCTTCCCAAGTGCTCCCTGCGGGGACCAAGTCCTCTCTGGCCTTCGTTCGGTTCCTGGGCATAGCACCCACACGCTGTAGGTGCTCAAGCATCCGAGTGAACAAGCGGATAGATGTCACCACTGTGGGGATCAGGTGGGAAATAAGCACAGAGAAGCCAAGGCCCTAATTTGGCTGGTCAGCTGAAAACGGGCTCAAATTCCGCAGGCTGAGCCCCAAGGAGAGGAAACCTCAGGCTCCGGGACTTTGCTCTAAGGGTGAGACTCTCTCTGGGCCCAGACAAGAAACCCCTTTGTGCCAGCAACACTGATTCACAGCAAGCCGGGCTGCACAAGAGAACCTTCTTTTCTTTTGACAGAGAGCAAGCGAGCGAGCGAGCGAATATGCGAGAGCCGGGGAGGGACAGAGAATCCCAAGCAGGCTCCATACTGTCAGTGCAGAGCCCAATGTGGGGCTCAAACTCCTGAACCCTGAGATCACGACCTGAGCCGAAACTGGACTGGAAGCTTGACTGAACCACGCGGGCGCCCCAACAGAATGTTCTCTCCAGCTCTGACCTTACACGCTGAAAGCAAGTAGACATTTTACTGCAGTTACAGCAGCACGAACTGGGCGAAGGGTGCGTGGAGCCCCTTCGTACTCTCTCTACCAGCTCCCGCGAGTCTTAGTTCAGATTTTTAAAAATGCTGTACTGGACCAGTGGAAACCTGGGGGAGGCAGGGTTCAGTTCCGCAGAACGATGGCCTTTTGGACAAAGCAGCCTGGGAAACGGCTTTCAAGACCGTCCTCGGCGCCTGGAGTCGGGCAGTTGACCCCGGCCACACCTGCAGGGCTGGGCGGCACCATGAACCGGGAAGGCCCCACCTCTGGGGGCCAGGGTGCCTGGGCTCAAGCCTTAACCCAAAAACTTACCAGTTGTGCCACCTTGGACAAGCTTTGCCTCTTTGCAAGTCCGTTTCTGCACACACACAAACGCGGCGAAGATCCCACGGGGCTTCCTTCGCAAAGCGGAGTTATTTTAAAGGGCAATCTGCACAGAATGGCCAGCACCCCAGGGGCGCCAACCCACAGGCAGTGGCCGTGGCTCTGTCCTCGGCGGGTCACTTTTGGTCAGGCTGGCACTCTTCACGGTGCTGGGGACGGTGTAGGTCACCCTGTCTGCCCGTAACCATCCACACAGGGCGTGAAACCCGCTTGAGATTCTTTCTGTCCCTCCCCCCACTGGTGCTCTCAAAAGAAAGATTAAAAAAAGAAAGCACGTCAGTAGAAGTGCAAGTGCAGAAGACGGACTGAGGGGAGGCCCTGGCACGGCCTCCCTCCACAGCACAGCCTGGCGAAGCCAAGAACGCCCGCCATGCGGGGGGTCGGCCAGCCCGTGAGGGGAGCGTGCACCTGCAGACTGGCTCACACGCCCCAGTAGGCAGCTGAGGACAACAGGCTGGGATGCTTTCCGCCCCCGACAAAACTACCGCAGTCAATATTCTCCAAGATTGAAGGGAAAAGCACACTTCACTCTCTGACTCAGTTGTGGGGTGCCTGGGGGGCTCAGTCGGTTAAACATCTGACTTCAGCTCAGGTCATGATCTCAGGGTTCATGGGTTCGAGCCCCGCATTGGGCTCTGTGCTGACAGCTCGGAGCCTGAAGCTCCTTCAGATTCTGTGTCTCCCTCTCTCTCAAAAATAAAAAATAAACATTAAAAATTTTTTTTTAAAGAAAAAGAAGCGGGAGATGCGTCTTGCAGAGCTGGTCCATACCTGGGATGGGTCCAGACGCCGCACACAAGTGGGCCGGATCCATGTCTGCAGAGGCCCCTCCCTCCCCACCGCCGCGGGGGCGGGAGGCGCAGCTGGCAGGCTGAGGAGCCACAACACAGACCCAACAAGACTGGAGACCCCAGGGGGTCTGCAGCAGTGTTTGAAATGAAATGGTCTTTATTTTCCAGAAGCGACAGGATGACCGCCCCGCCCTACAGCTTAGATTCATGGAGGGAGAAATAAAATCTGTCCCTGTGACTCCCGTGTGAGCCGGCCGCGGGGAGGTGCGCAGGGGGACCGGTGTGGAGACGACGACGTGGACAGCGTGACATGGACATGCGGAAGCGTGTGGAGCAGTGGAGACGTGGCCACTCAGGGCCGACTGATCGCCCGCAGCCCACCAGGTCCCACGCCTCTGAGCCAAGTTCCTTGGCCGCTGCCTTGGGCTCGGGGAGGGAGACACCGGCGTGTGGCCGAAGGCTCGCTCGGCTGCCTAACGGCCAAGCGAGTTCATAAATGACCATTTCTGCTGCCCACTTCCTGCTACCTTACTTTGTCTCCAGATCCACCTAAGGCTCACCCTATTTCCCCAGTGACCTGGAATGGCTTTGTGCCCTTTTAACTGTAGCTTGTGCCGTTCCACGAAGTAATAATTCAAAGTAAGAACGTGACACGCAGAGCCTCACACGTCACATGTCCACACAAGAGGGCCAGCTGAGGTGGCACAGCTTTTATGAGCCCGTGTCAGACAAGGAAACCACAGCTCAGCTTCAACAGGTGCGGGGACTGGACCTGCCGAAGGGCAGCCTGTGCCAGGGCACTGGGGCCGGGGCCCGAAGGGGCGCTCCAACTGTGTATTCGTCGCCCCTGCTCCAGCTCTTACTGAACTGATGATCTTGTGAGACTGCAAACGGTATAAACCAGCTCCCTGTAAAAAAGGCTCCCCCCGCCGGAGATTCCCAGCCTACCTTTTAGACCCACTGACCCCACTGCCCTCCCCGAGGGGGGCTCCCATAAGACAGACAGGTGCGCTGCCAGCCGCCCAACCCTCGCCACGACCGGGAGAGGCCAGCAAGTCCTTCCCCGGTGCCCGCCGCGCCCCGCCCGCCCCCAGCTGCGCGACAGCTGCTGCAGGACAGGCAGCCCGGCCTCTGCAAAACGCACTGACTCGCATGAAGCACCTTTTCCTCATCTTTCTTAGAGAAATGTCACAACCCTGCCGTGTGCCTGTGGTGCCCACTGGAAGTGAAGAAGTATCCTCAGCGCGACTCCAAGCCAGAGGCTGGTTTCACTGTCAAGACATCGGCCCCCCGCCCCCCGGGCACTGTCACACAGCAAGGCCCAGGGCAGCCTAGGGTTGAACTCCAGCAGCTCCCCCATACGAACTTGAAGACTAGGGTGGCAAGGCAGCCGAGGAAGCCCCTTACTGCACACGGGCGTTCAGGGCTTGGGCAGGGACGGGGCTGCGTGTGGTCCGCTCTGCAGGATGGAGGCCCCCGTAGAGCCACAGGCCTGACGGGGGAAGGGGTGGTGCGGGCCTTGGACACACCCCAGCGAGGCGATGCGGGGTCCTGGGAACATGAGGAACGCACACTAGAAATTTGGATTATTCCACAAATAAAACCTAAAACGGTCTCCTTCACTCTCTGTTCATCCAGTTACAACAGACCTACGACTACATTCAGGCCTCAGATCTCAGGCTCCAACAGCTAGTGGTCAACCCGAAGCCCAGGGGCTTCCCTGTGGAGGGGCCCTGCCCGGGAGGACACACCTCTCACCTGCTCACCCTGGGCAGTCCAGGAAGCAGCGGCCCAAAAACTACCAAAGAAAAAAGTCAGTTACTATGCTCAGCGGCACCGGCTGCACAAAGAGAAGGCGCCGTGGCGCCACTTCCAAGAAAAAAGCAAAAGTATAGCTTAAATGTTCTAATTTCAAAACGTGACGTCCTTTCCTAAGATGCGGCCAAGCACCCCCACCCGCCCAGGAGCCGCTGACGCTGGGGAGTGGGCGTGGGCACCGCGCCCCCGTCTGGGCCCAGCAGGCTGCAGGGCTCACTCCAGGGCCGCCAGCTGCTCGATGGCACAGCGCACTCTCTTCGCCGTCTCTTCAAATTCCTTCTGTTTATTGCTGGTTTCCTTTGCCTGGAAGAAAAAGAACAGGCACGTGAACCTGAATGGAGCTTCCCAATCATGCGCTGCAGGTGGGATCAAAAGGGAAAAATGAGGGAGCATTTACTGAGCATCTAAGTAAATCCAGTGCTGTGCGAGGGTGAAGACACCCAGCTGTATGGGGTGAATATGCTGATTCAACTCAGGGGCCTCTCATTTAAACGGCACCCCGGTAATTATAGCAGAAAACGTTTACGCAACGCTTTGCATGCACCAAACCATTTTACCTGCTTCACACGCATGAACTGCTTTACTGTTCAGTGGCCCTGTGAGGCAGGCATATCATTAGCTCCATTATACAGATGAGGAAACCGAGGTCCAGAGTGGTGTCCAGCTCCGGGGTACCCAGCTAGTCTGTGGAAGAGCCCTGCTCCTAACCAGCGCCCGGCACGGCTTCCGAAGCTCCCCCACTAAGTCCACAGCCCTCTCCTAGTCCACTGAGAGACACGGCTGAGCGCCTGCTTCTCCGAAAATGGGAGAAATTCCTGTGCCGCCAGTGGCTTCCAGAACCTGCCTTCCAACCTTGTCATTCTCCTATGCGTTCTCTCCAGAAGAACAAGTGCCGACCTCGTTAGCAGATCCAGGGGCCCTTTTCCCTACCCCAGTCTGTGCTCTCCTCGGTTTCTCTGACACATTAAAAACAAACAGACCTTGGCTGGGTTAAATTTGTTGCCTAGGGGCGGCTGCCTCTTGATTTCAGCTCAGGTATGATCCCACAGTTGTGGGATCAAGTCCCATGCTGTGCTCTGCATGGGGCGTGGAGCCTGCTGAAGATTCTCTCTCCCTCTCTCACCTTCTGCCCCTCCCCCCACTTGTACACACTCTCTTAAAAAAATTGTTTTCTAATTAGAGGCCAATTTTAAAAAATTACTTTTCAAGGGGCTCCTGGATGGCTCAGTCAGTTAAGCCTCTGACTTCGGCTCAGTTCATGATCTCGTGTTCATGGGTTCAAGCCCCGCGTCGGGCTCTGTGCTGACAGCTCAGAGGCTGGAGCCTGCTTCAGATTCTGTGTCTCCCTCTCTCTACTCCTCCCCTGCTCATGCTGTCTCTCTCACTCTCAAAAATAAATAAAAATGAAAAAACTTACTTTTGAATATGAACTTTTTAGATATCTTAATTTTGCTGCACACATAAGGCTTAAAGTTACTAATTAAAAAATTAGTTAAGGGGCGCCTGGGTGGCTTAGTCGGTTAAGCGTCCGACTTTCGCTCAGGTCATGATCTCACGGTTCGTGGGTTCAAGCCGCGCGTCGGGCTCTGTGCTGATTGCCAGCTCAGAGCCTGGAGCCTGTTTCAGTCTGTGACTCCTTCTCTCTCTGACCCTCCCCTGCTCACGCTGTCTCTCTCTCTCTCTCTCTCCTAGAAATAAATAAAACATTTAAAAAATAAAAATAAAAAATCAGTTAAAAAATAAGATTCAACATGGGAAAGAGAAAACAGCACAAGATCAGAAACAGTGTGCCTAATAATGGAGCCTTGTCTTTACGGATATGGAAAGATGATGGTGGCTTTTTTGTTTTTTTTAAAGTAACCTTGGGGCGCCTGGGTGGCTCAGTTGGTTAAGTGTCTGACTTTGGCTCAGGATATGATCTCACAGTTCGTGGGTTTAAGCCCTGCGTCGGGCTCTGTGCTGACAACTAGCTCAGAGCCTGGAGCTTATTTCGGATTCTGTGTCTCCCTCTCTCTCTGACCCTCCCTGCTCATGTGGTCTCTCTCAGAAATAAATAAAACATTAAAAAAAAAAAGTAATCTCTACACCCATTGTGGGGCTTGAACTCATGACCCGTGCACATTAAGAGTTGCACACTCTTCCGACGGAGCCATCCAGGTGCCTGGACCATGGCCTTTTAAAATATATTTCTTATTTACTTTTTTCTTCTCTTTCAAAAAAGCCTAAAACCAATTAAGGCCCTATGTTCACAGTCTGTAATTTAACCACAACACGGAGGCCAACGTCTCCATTTTATCTATTTTCTTAATAAAGGCCGATTGAAGCAAAAATCAGAAACTCGCTATGAAAAACACAATAAGGGGCGCCTGGGGGACTCAGTGGTTGAAGCGTCCGACTTCAGCTCAGGTCATGATCTTGTGGTTCCTGAGTGTGAGCCCCACGTCGGGCTCTGTGCTGACAGCTCGGAGCCTGGAGCTGCTTCGGGTTCTGTCTCCCTCTCTCTCTGTCCCTCCCCCCCACTTGCGCTCTGTTGCTCTCAAAAATAAACATTAAAAAAATAACAACAACTTAAAAAATAATAAATTAAAAAGAAACATAAGAAAATCCGTGGGGCACACGTTTGCTAGCTGCACCCCTTCTCCCTTCTCTCATGCCTCATTTTGTCCTCACTGTCGGTGCCCACAGACTCAAGTCCGACGCTTCTCTGCTGCTCCCATATGAAGTTTGTTCCCTGAACAGATTCATTTTCTAATCGGTTCTAATTTATTTCATTTTTCTCAAAAGGCAGAGGTAGCCATGCAGCAGCAGGAACTGAGTCACAGGGCAGCGTGCTCCCCTACAGACCCCCCGCCACACCGGCCGCATGCTGTCTCCGCATCAGGACCTGGGTGAGCTGCCCATCGGTGGTCCCGCCACACTGCCTAGCACCTCACTTTTAAACCTGGGGCCTCAGAAATCCACAGCCCCACAGCACACATTTGTTCCTTCAGTATTCACAGACCCAAAACAACTATTTCACCGTGTTCTTTTTCAAGAATGTCTGATGAACGATTATCTTAAACTGCATACTGCAATCATGTAACTGATTTAATAAATCATTTAAAGTATCAGCCCCCAACCTTATCTGCCCCCACAAAACAGATGAGGTTTGCACGCCAGCCCACCTCCAGGAGCGAGGTACCTGGAGTGCCTGCCTGGGCGCTCCGGGGCGAAGCAGACAGGCCTCTGGGTCTGCCGGTTCCCTGCACTTGGCCCTGACCTGACATGACCATCCATTCACATGGCAAAGTGCATGGAGACACGAGGGGGCCTGGGTGTTACTTTATATTAGCGATCAATTATTTGCAGCAGAGGCGTCTGGATGGCTCAGTTGGTTGAGCTTGGATCCAACTCTTGGTTTGGGCTCAGGTCATAGTCTTGCGGTTTGTGGGTTCAAGCCCTGCATCGGGCACCACACTGCTGGTGTGGAACTTGCTTGGGATTCTCTCTCTCCCCCTCCCCCACTTGGGTGCGTGCGTTCTCTTTCAAAATAAATGAATAAACTTAAAAAAATTATTCACAGCGCATCTCGCATCTGGCTGGCACTCCCCACAGCACGTCCAGCAGAACTCTCGCAATGACAAAGGCACCACACGGCACAGCGGCAACTGGCCACGTGCAGCTGTCGGGCAGGCACGATGCTGTTCGTGTGCCTGGAGCCCCAAATTCTGCATTTTACACAATCTTCATCGTGGAAGCCGGGTGCGGCTGATGGTCAATGCGCTGGACAGCACAGCCCGAGGACAGCACCATGGGACTGCTGAGTGCCACGGGCTCACAGAGACTTCCTGCTGGGGAAGTAGTGTGACCCAATTATGGAAAGTCTGCAAGCTTACACTTGGCATTCTTCCCTAAAATACAGAAATTTAAAAATTATCTGGAAGGAAACACATCAGTTAATGGTGGTCACCCTCAGTATAGAGATAGGGCTTTTGATTCTTCCTTATAGAAATTTGTATTACTTATTTTGTAATTAAAGTAATAAAAGTAAATGCATCATGTTAAAGTATTCCATATTCTGACTTGAGAACAAAAATAGCTGCCCGAGGAAAGCGAAGCATTTTCTTCCCACCCCCCAATTTGGTCCCCTGCACATTAACCTGGTCTGGTTCGGCCCCACCGCTGTGCATGCAGATGACGGTGACCGAGTGTCTACCGGAGGGCTTCCCGCTCCAACGAGCCCCCCTCCCCATGGGCTATCTGACTCCCCTCACTGGATGGCAGGGCCCACGAGCCCCCATCACCGCTCTGGAGCTGTACCCACACAACCCAGTCTTCCTACTTGCTGCAACCACCTGACATCGTTTGTCCGTGTCAGTGCTCCACAGTGTGTCCGGGTCAGTGCTCCACAGTGTGTCCATGTCAGTGCTCCACAGCATGTCCGCGTCAGGGCTCCACAGCGTGTCCGGGTCAGGGCTCCACAGTTTGACTTCAGCCTCCCTGGGCCACACATTAGTCTCCCTCCTGCCTGCCGCAGCGCAGCTTTCTCACAACTGTCCCCTAAGTATACAGGCTGGTCTCTCACCTAGAATGGGGTTGGCCAACCGTGGCCTGCGGAACACGTGGCTTGTTTCTCATACAGTCCTGAGGCTAAGAAAGGTTTTCACGTTTTTAAACAGTTGTGAAAACAAGAACCACAAAGAATACTCTCTAACGGAAACCAGTGGCCCGTGAAGGCTAAAATGCCGGGGCCCTTAGCAGGCGTGCAGCCCCTGACCCAGAAGGCTGTCCCTAGTCCACTGCCCAGTCCCAAGGTCCCCGCGGAGTAAACAGTGCTTCCACCACTTGCTGTACCGACTACCAGTTTCTTTCCTCTTCCTCACAAAACATAATTGGTCCTCAGCATTTAAAACCTACTGTATTAGAACTATTTCCTAATCATCTCTAAAAAGGAATATAATTTTCAATCAAAAAAGGACCTCAGACACAGGGTCAGGGGTCAGCCTTGCACTTTGCAGCAGGGAGAGGGTGGGCGAGACCGGCCTAAACTCACAATGCCCAGAGTGGCAGGGACAGAACCAGGGTGTCGGCTGGCAGCCCCGTGCTCTGCTGCGGCACCGACACCCGAACACGGAGCTCTGGAACGCCGCCGCCGCACTCGGCGGGTACAAACATAGGACGCCCAGCGACATCCGAACTTCACAAGAACAAGTAAGGTTCTCGTATACATCCCTACAATACACGAGCTATACTAAGAAATTTTTCCCTGTGGATCTGAAATTCAGACTTAACCGGGAGCCCTGATTTTCTCTACAGCCCCGGCTGCTTGGTACCAGCCCTTAGTGGACCTGCGGCTTCACCCCTCTACTCTCCGGACACCCTAGGATGCCCGTCTACAAGTTAAAGTTCACTTGCAGAAATCCCGAGGTCCTTTTCCCCAACACCCATAGTGCTCCCTCCCCCAGATACTGCTGCACGCTCCCAAGCCCTCTGCCCCTACGATGCTCACACACCATGTACAGGGCCCCCCACGGAGACTGTCGCTGAAGGCGGGAGCGCCATCCAGCCACCACCTTCCCGCCACCAGAGGTACCCACCCTAAACAAAGGAGGGAACCCGTTTCTCTCCGATCTGACTGCATGGCCCCAAGACCGCATTCCAGGACAGATGTTTTTCTGTCCTTTGTACCGTCACCCATGCACCGGAGGGGCTGTAAAGGGCTAAGCGAGGAACGTGGAGCCCCTCCAGCACGAGGGGCGGGGAGCTCGGTGCTACGGGTGCCCAACACTTTGCCCTTGATCCTTATTCCCAATAATACATACAATTTTGTTCTTGGCTCTTTCCTTGTCCAGTTTCAAAAATTCACTGAGGGTTAATTCTTCGAATTGCTTCTTGACAGAAAGAAAAGCACAACCAGATGAATGTTTTTTATGTTCTTCTCTAGAAAAATTAATACAGGAGTGTGTCAACAGGGAGAAAAGCAACCGTTTGTCATCAGCACCCACTGAACCCAGCTCACAGACACGCCTCAATGGGCGTCCAGAGCAAAGTGTGAAGTACACAGAGCCCGTGCGAGGTCCCGTTGCGCACTCCCACTCAGCCCGCCTCTGCCCCCCACCCCTCTGCGGCGTCTCTCCCCATGCTTGGGGCGAATGGGTTTTATACACAGTCCTTTAGCAATGAACAGGAAAGAAAACTCACACGTGTGAGTCCAGGGGCAGCACACGCTGAATCCCTCTAAAACCCTCATGAAGGGAACTGTGTGAAGCAATGGGGTGTCATGGGAATTGTTACAGATCTGGTGGTTCTGAGTAAGGGCACCCTGGGCCAGGCTTCTCCAGGAAGCTCCTCAGCTCCAGCCTCTGCACTGGGACTTGTCCCCACAGTGCGAGCAGCAGTGTGACCGGACCAGAACCCAACACACGGCCACACAAAGGCCCGAAGGACAGCCCATAGCAACTAGCATCTGAAAACATTCTAGCACTTAGAGAAATTCACTCCCAGGGCGCCTGGGTAGCTCAGCCCCGCAAGTGTCTGACTCTTGATTTCGGCTCAGGTCATTATCTCTGTCCCGGGCTCCAGCCCCAGGTTGGGCTCTGCCTCAGAGTCTGCTTGGGACGCTCTCTGCCCCTCCCCCACTGGCTCACGCACTCTGTCTCAAGATAAATAAATGAATAAACTTTAAAAATAAATTCACTGGCAAGAATACAACCAGCACTTGGCCAGTGACCTCTGGTATGATCACCATGGCATCCCGATTATCCGGGGGTAATGAGAGGAAACACATTAGTGAAAACAGCAACTCTCTTCTGGCCAAGAAGAGAACTTGGGTGATCCTCTAGAGGAAAGTCTTAAAGTTACAGAAGCAACCGGTTCTGACAGGGAAAAAGAGGTGAGGAAAGAATGTGGCATCGCACACAGGACAGCCATCACAGCCTATCTGAACACACACACAGAATTCTAAAGAATAACTAGACGCCTTAAAGAACAACACCCCAAACAACGCACGTGTGCCATTTAAAAGGGTGGTTTCTGGGTGCCTGGGGGGCTCAGTAGGTTGTGTCCAACTTCAGCTCAGGTCATGAGGTTGGGCCCCGCGTCGGGCTGTTGGCTGTCAGCAGAGCCCCTCTTTGGATCCTCGGTCCCTCTCTCTATGACCCTCCCCGGCTTGCACATGCTCTCTCTCGTTCTCTCTCAAAAAATAAATAAAAATTAAAACATCTGAGGGGGTGGTTTCTGTGGTACATGAATTACAGTCCAATAAAGTTTTATTTAAAAAATTTTTTTTAATGTTTATTTACAATAGAGACAGAGCACGAGCAGGGGAGGGGCGGAGAGAGAGGGAGACACAGAATCCGAAGCAGCTCCAGGCTCCGAGCTGTCATTGCAAAGCTGGATTTGGGGCTCAAACCCAAGAACAGTGAGATCATGACCGGAGCCGAAGTGGGTCACTTAACCGACTGAGTCACCAGGCGCCCCTCGATAAAGCTTAAAGAACTCTGAAACAAGGCCAGCACCTGGACGCCCCCAGGTCACAACTGGACCGGCTCCTGTACTCTGTCATGAAAGGCATCAAGTACAGAACCATAAGAATGAGCCTTTCTTCGCATCTGAGGGACATTTGGCCACATGGGGTTTGATCAGGTTGAAAGCACCAGGAGGACCCCGACACAGAGAGGCTCGTCCATTCGCGATAACCGGTTTCGGCACAAAATGAAACTGGAAAGCAGGCCCGGGCATGAGCTGCACACCCTGGAAGCCACAGGAGGCCGCCCTCAGACTCACATGGGGTCGTCGTCTGGCTCCCAGCCTTCCAGCTCCTTGAAGCAGAAGAAACACTGAGCCAAGTCGGGCTCGTTCTCCGTGGGGCAGTGGATGAAGCCGGCCTCGGCCATCTGCGAGGGAGAGCTAAGGCTCAGGCGCTGGCGGGCCTCCAGGCTCTGGGGAGCCCACCAACGGAGGGGGCGCCCCGGGGCCCGGGACTGGAAGGCCACAGGAGAAGGGGTCGCCTGGGATTCGGGAGCCCACGGACGAAGGGGGCGCCCCGGGGGGGGGGGGGCCAGGAACTCACAGTGGTCCCCAGGGGTCCGGAGAGCCCACAGAGGGAGGGGTCGCCCAGGGGCCCGGGAACTCACAGAATGGTCGCCCGGGACCTGAAGCCCACAGGGGGAGGGGTGGCCTGGGATTCGGGAGCCCACGGACGGAGGGGTCGCCCCAGGGGGGGCCGGGAACTCAGAGTTCCGGAAGGCCACAGAGGGAGGAGTCGCCCCATGGGAGGCTCGGGAACTCACAGTGGTCCCCAGGGGGCCGGAGAGCCCACAGAGGGAGGGGTCGCCCAGGTGCCCGGGAACTCACAGAATGGTCGCCCGGGACCTGAAGCCCAAAGGGGGAGGGGTCGCCTGGGATTCGGGAGCCCATGGACAGAGGGGTTGCCCTACGGGGGGCCCGGGAACTCACAGTGGTCGCCCGGGACCGGAAGGCCACAGGGGGAGGGGTCGCCTGGGACCGGAAGGCCACAGGCAGAGGGGGCGCCCGGGATTCGGGAGCCCACGGACGGAGGGGTCACTCTATTGGGTGCCCGGGAACTCACAGTGGTCGTCCGGGACCACACGGCCACAGAGGAGGGGTCGCCCAGGGGGCCGTGGAGCCCACAGAGGGAGCGGGCGCCTGGGACCGGAAGACCACAGAGGGAGGAGGCGCCCGGGGGGCCGCGTCGGGGCCCTGGGGAGAGGGGCCGTGCGGTCTCACCCGTTCCGGGGTGCAGGCGCAGCCCTCCAAGAACGGCCAGTTCTTGAACGTAGAGATGCGGTGGTCCTTGAGGTAGAGCTGCCAGGCCGGGGGCAACGACGAAGCGCCCATCCCGCCACCGCAACCGCCGAGCGCTGACTCGATTCAAATCCGGCGGTCGGTGGCCGCCGCGGGGCATGTCGGGAACGCACGGTCCCTAAGCGCGCCGCCCGCGGCCTTCTGGGAATGCCAGGCTGGGCGGCGCGGTGCGTGCTGGGAGTCGTAGTCCTTCCGCCGCCCACTGAACCGTCCCCGCCGCGGCTGGCCCCTTCCCACGTTTAGCGCTTCCCCGCGTGCTTGCAAAGACTGGTGGGAAGAGGGGCTGAGGATGCGGTGAAGTCCCTGTAGTGGGTTCAAGGACTGGCCTTTGTCGAGCGCATATAAATTAAGCCCGTGCCCACTAAACACTCACTCCCCTTTTTCCGTAAGTTTTTGTAACAAATACATAATTCATAGATCAACTTTTGGCTAGATCAATCTTCTTATAGCTTATTTATTTATTTTTATTTCTGAGAGAGAGAGAGAGGCAGCGTGAGCAGGGGAGGGTCAGAGGGAGGGAGACACAGAATCAGAAGCAGGTTCCAGGTTCTGAGCTGTCAGCACAGAGCCCGACGCGGGGGTCGAACCCACGAACCGCGAGAACCCACGAACCGCGAGATCATGACCTAAGCGAAAGTCGGACGCTTAACCGACTAAGCCAACCGGGCGCCCCAATTTTGTTCATTTCTATCAGTAACAGTCTTCATGAATTGGCTAAGGAGCTGGTATCTTGCAGGGGCCCCTGGCTGGCTCAGTGGATGGAGCGTGCGATTCTTGATCTTGGGGTTTTAAGTTCAGACCCCACATGGGGTGTAGAGATTACTTGAGTAAGTAAAGATTAAAAAGGGAAAAAAAAAATAACTTGGCAGCTTGCATTTGCTTTCCAGCCTAATTCACAAGAAAATTGCAAGCAATTCTGTGAAAAAGAGTGGGGAGAGAAAATAAGAGGGAGGGAAACATTAAGAGAGACAGACCCGCCCAGAAGTGGGAGGGTGGGCGAGTCTATGTTGGTCTATTGGTTGCTGAATTAGTTCTCTGAGTCAAAGGTGTCCCTGGTGCACAGGACAGGGTGACTGCCCCAGGTGTTCTTTTCTGACAGTACTGGGGAACAGCCCATGTGATCTTTAACCCCCTGAGAATGCAGAGCAGCACGTGCTTGTTTTAAATTGTACTTCTGGGATTACGTGGGAGGCTGATCATCTCAAACCGGTCACTTTCATCTTTCCTGTGAATTCCCTCTTCGTGTCCACTTTGCTGTTGCGTTAATGACATTTTTCCTACTGCCTGATGAGTTTTTATTCAAAAGGCACTTAGCCTCATTTGTCATGCCCTCCATGCCCTGGAGTTTGTTGTCTTTTTACTTTGTCGTATATTTTTTCTTGCAGAAGTTTTAAATGTTTATGCCATCATGTTGATCACTCTTTTTCTTTCAGACTTTTGGGGGGTTTTCCCCACTAAGTTTACTTATGTATTTATTTTGTAATCTCAACACCCACCACGGGCCTGAATTCAGCACCCTCCCCAGTCAAGAACCACGCACTCTTCTGATGGAGCCAGCCAGGTGCCCCTGACTTTTGTTTTCTATTTCTGGCTGGCTTCTTTTGTTTTGTTTTTTGCCATGCTTAGAAAGGCTCATTCTGCTCTGAGATGATTTATAAAAGATATTCATTGAAGATTTCTTTTGGTTTTCGTGTTTATTGTTACAGTCTTGGTCTTTAAAAAGAAATGTCTGATCCCTTCAGAAGTATATCAATCGAAGGTGCATGAAAAGGGTTCAGATTTGTTTCCCAAGATCTGGCCAGGTGCCCCCACGCTGTTTGTTCAGTCAGCAGCTTTGAACAAAGGCAGGTTTGAAACGCCACCCTTGTCACATACTCAAGTCCACTCACCATGTGCTGGGGCCCGAGTCTCCTTTCTGCCTCTGGTCTGTCTGCCCGCTCCTGCCCCTGCTGCAGCCGGATTCTTTTACGGGCGAATAAGCGGAGACCCAGAGTCGCTGGTGGAAGTCTGGAAAGGACAGGGAGTGAATCGGTCTCCAGGAACAGAGTTCTGAGAAGCTCCTGACTGCTAGGCAGCCAAAGAGGGCCGAGATAGGCCCCCCACCTGCTCCCCAAAGTCAGAAAGGAGAATTCTAGAGGGCTTCACTGCCACCCAAAAGCTTCAAGTGAGCTTGAAGGACAAGAGAAAGAACTGGAGGGACAGAGAAAGAACAGGAATCCCTGAAGGCATCACTGACCGCCCAGACCTGGGTGTCCAGGAGGGGCTGGGGGCAGTGATAAACACAGGAAAGAATAAGGAAAGGCAGGGAGGGGGGGTGGGGCTGGCTCCCCCCTCAAAGCGGTGTCCCAGCAACGGCAAATCCTGCAGCCTACGGGAAAATCGTGTGTCCTCTGTGTCAGGAACATGGTGTTCTGAAGTCACTTCCTGAGCACAGGGGTGGCGAGGTGGCGCCTCTCACATCCGCAGGCCAGAAATAAGAGGCCTCCTCAGTGCTCCAGCTCTGTGCGGGCTGCTGGCCTCTATTCTTTTAACGTCACAACTTCTTGGAAACTTTTTCTTTTTTAAAAAAATGAAGTAGGCTCCAAGCCCAACATGGGGCTTGAACTCATGATCCTGAGATCAAGAGTCATATATTCTCCCCTGCTTTGCCCACTGAGCCAGGCGGGGACCCTGGGAAACCTTTTATTGTATCATTTTATTTATTTTTAAAAATATTTATTTATTTATTTTGGGAGAAAGAAGGAACAGGGGAAGGGCAGACAGAGAGGGAGAGAGACAGGAAACCAAGCAGGCTCCACTGTATCAGGACAGAGTCCATCTCGGGGCTCAAAATCACAAACCATGAGATCATGACCCAAGCCGAAATTGAGTCAGATGCTCAACCAACTCAGCCACCCAGGTGCCTTGCCATTAAAATTTTTTTTTAAATGTTTATTTATTGGGGGGGAGGGGCAGAGAGAGAGGGAGACGCAGAAACCGAAGCTGTCAGCACAGAGCCCGACACGGGGCTCGAATCCGCAAAGTGCTGAGCTGAGGTCCAGCACTTAACTGACTGAGCCACCCAGGCGCCCCTACCCTGCCGTTTTTTTTTTATTTTATTTATTTAAAAAAATTTTTTTTAATGTTTTATTTATTTCTAGGAGAGAGAGAGAGACAGCACGAGCAGGGGAGGGTCAGAGAGAAAGGGAGATACAGAATCTGAAGCAGGCTCCAGACTCCGAGCTGTCAGCACAGAGCCCGACGCAGGGCTCGAACCCATGAACCGCGAGATCATGACTTAAGCGAAAGTCGGACGCTTAACTGACTAAGCCACCCAGGCGCCCCATGGTCCACAGTCTATTTAATATAACTTTTATATTAAATAGTTCATAGTAATACAACTATTTGTATTAGATGAAAGGAAGAAATTAAAATTTCCCACAATGTTACCTTGTGTATATCCCTCTAGTCTTTTTTTTCTAGGTCTATAGATATCTGTGTATAGTGTGTCATATGCCCGTATATAGGTCTATGCATCCTTTTTTAAAAAATTTTTAATGCTTATTTATTATTGATACAGAGAGAAACAGAGCATGAGTGTGGAAGGGGCATAGAGAGAGGGAGACACAGAATCTGAAGCAGGCTCCAGGCTCTGAGCTGTCAGCACAGAGCCCGACGCAGGGCTCGAACCCACAAACCGTGAAATCATGACCTGAGCCACAGTGGGACGCTCAAACGACTGAGCCACCTAGCGCCCCTATGCATCCTTTTTTCAGTGAAAATAGGATTATGAGGCGGCAAGCACAGTTTTGTTCTGTCTTTTGCGGGCTTTAAGGCATTTTGCTTTAACAGGGCATAACCTTGGGACCAATTCTCGACCTAGGTGTGGAGACAGCCTGGGGTTCGTGCCAGTAGCTGTGAGGTGTCTCACAAGGAATTCGTTGCAAATGTTAAATGAAGTTCCACAGTTTGGGAGTCATTTCCTTTGAAGATCTGGAATAAATCCAAGTTACTTCTATAATATCATTCTCATTTGCCTGCATCCTGAAAGCTTTCTGGCTATTTTAGTGTTTCAAATGACATACCACATTTAAATACTTATGACATTATGACATTATTATTTTTTTAAGTGATGATTTGGAGGGACACCTGGGTGGCTCAGTTGGTTAAGCATCCAACTCTTGGTCTCTGCTCATGTCATGATCTCAAGGTTTGTGGGGCTGAGCCCCGCGGCGGGCTCTGCGCTAACAGCACCGACACCACTGGTAATCGGTTTCTTCGTATGCATACAGATGCCTCCAAGCGTCTGAGCGGTCGATGCGTTACTGAACCAGGGATATACCAGATCGGTTGTTTCTTGTGTTTTTGCTCTCACGTCTGAATCCAGTTGAGGTATCCAGATGAGCAAAAGGCCATGGAGAGTCCAAGTGGTGTTCCGAGCAAATGGAGGCGCTCCCGGGCGTGGGGAGAGCTGAGGCTGGCAGGAAGGGGAAGCCCGTGCGGTCAGCGGGGCGCACCCTGGGGGGTCCAGTGCTATCCGGGTTCCTGGAGGATTGTTCTCAAAATCATCTGCAGCGGTAACAAAAGACACAAAAGCCTCAGAATGGGAGAGGCTCTTGCAAACCTGTCTCACGAGGGATCTGATGAGAGAAACAAGCTGCATTTCTGATCCTAGAAATGTCACTTAAAATGACAGCTCCATCCCATGACTCCTTTGAAGTGTTCTGAATGAGCTCTCAACCATCCGTAGACTTACCTCCAGCTTGACATGCAGCTTTGTATGACCCATGAATTAAGAATGGCTGTACTCAGGGCGCCTGGGGGGCTCAGTCGGTTAAGCGTCCTACTTTAGCTCAGGTCATGATCTCACAGTTCTTGGGTTCGAGCCCCGCGTCGGGCTCTGTGCTGACAGCTCAGAGCCTGGAGTCTGCTTTGGATTCTGTCTTTCTCTCTCTGCCCCTCCCCTGCTTGTACTCTGTCTCTCTCTCTCANTTAAATGGTGTTGAAGATAGAAAGTTAAAAGAAAAACCAAAACACTAAAGTTCAAACCCATTTCTTTGCTCAAACCCACTATTTTCAATCCTCAACACTTAGCAGGCTAAAGTCTGAAGTGATATGTGAAAAAGGGAGTCACAGTTAAGAATTCACTTCAAAATTGGGGCGCCTGGGTGGCTTAGTCGGTTAAGCGTCCGACTTTCGCTTAGGTCATGATCTCACGGTTCGTGGGTTCGGGCCCCGCGTCGGGCTCTGTGCTGACTGCCAGCTCAGAGCCTGGAGCCTGTTTCAGTCTGTGACTCCCTCGCTCTCTGACCCTCCCCTGCTCACGCTGTCTCTCTCTCTCTCCTAGAAATAAATAAAATATATATATATATATATAAATAAAAAAAAACCTGCAGTTTAAAAAAAAAAAAAAAAAGAATGGCTTTACTCTTTTATTTTTTTAATTTTTAAAATTTTTTAAAATTTACTTCTGAAAGAGAGACAGAGCGTGAGCAGGGGAGGGGCAGAGAGAGAGGGAGACACAGAATCCAAAGACAGGCTCCAGGCTCTGAGCTGTCAGCACAGAGCCCGACACAGGGCTAGAACCCATGAACCGTGAGATCATGACCTAAGCCGCAGGTGGACGCTTAACTGACTGAGCCACCCAGGCGCCCCATGGCTTTACTCTTTCAAATGGTTAAAAAAAGACTGAAACTGGGGAGCCTGGGTGGCTCAGTCGGTTGAGCTTCGGCTCAGGTCACCATCTCGCGGTTCGCGGGTTCAGGGCCCGCGTTGGGCTCTGTGCTGACAGCTCAGAGCCTGGAGTCTGCTTGGGATTCTGTGTCTCCTTCTCTCTTTGCCCCTCCCCCATTCGTCTCCGTCTCTCTCTGTCTCTCAATAGTAAATAAATGTAAACAAAAAAAAAGAAAAAAGATCGAAACAGTATTATTTCACGACATGTGTAAAAATTATGTAAGATTCAAGTGTGAGCATTCATAAATAAAGTTTTATTGGCACACAGCCACGTTCCTCATTTAGGAATTGGCTGTGGCAGCTTGTGCGCTACAGTGGTAGTGTTATGTCAGAGACCATATGGCCCCCCAAACCTAAGATATTTATTTCTCAGATTTTTCAAGACATGTCACCTAGGAGTATTTGTTTTTCCCTAGTTAAAAAAAAAAAAAAGTAATACAGGGGCCTGGGTGGCTTGGTCAGTCAAGTGTCTAACTCTTGATTTCGACTTAGGTCGTGATCTCGTGGTTCGCGAGGTCGAGCCCCACATCGGGCTCCGAGCCGACAGTGTGGAGCCTACTTGGGACTCTGTCTCCCTCTCTCTCTGCCCCTCCCTGCTGGTGCCATCTCAAAAATAAGTAAATGTTAAAGAAAATGTTTTATGTAATACCTGCTCATGTTAGCAAATGTGGAAGTGAATTTTTAAAACACATTTGTGACACCACTGATAACTGGGTTTTCGTACGCACACATATGCCTACAGGGGTCTAGCTGTGTGTTATTGAACTGGGAATATATCAGATCGCTGGTTTCTCTTGTTTTTGCTCTCACGTTCCATCACAAACAGTATTCTATCTCCTGATTATGTCATAATGTAACCTCATTGGGACATTTAGGTTGTTTCCTAGTTTTGAATATTAATAAAGCTGCAAAGGCTGTCTTTGTGTATTTCTTTGATTATCCGGAAGAGAAATCCCAAGCAGAATTACGGGGCGAGTGGGTTTGGATCCATATAGCCAGGCGGTGCTCCCACCGGCAGAACTGGAGAGGACCACCTTTGCCATCTCTCCAGCAGTGCTGGGCATAATTATCGTTAGAGCATTTTCTCTCTTTTTTTTTTTTTTTTCTAATTTTTTAGACATTATTTTGACAGAGACAGAGACAGTGTGTTGGGGTGGGGGGCAGAGAGAGAGAGAGAGAGAGAGAGAGAGAGAGAGACCCAAGCAGGCTCTGTGCTGCCTGTACAGAGCCTGACACAGGGCTCAAACCACAAAACCATGAGACCATGACCGAGCAGACATCAAGAGTCAGACCTTAACCGACTGAGCCACCCAGGCACCCCTATTCTTTGACTTTTAAAAGAATTCCCCACATTAAAATTGTAATGTTTGATTTTTAAAAGGATTCTCCAAGTTTAAATAGTAACAAACATCGATGAACCAAATCCGCCCATCTTGTCGGATTCGAGGTTGGCTTTGCCTTATGCTGACACACAGGCTAAACTTTCCTTTGACCGGATCAGCGCGTCTCCCTGTCTACATGGAGCCCCGTGCAGCTCCCACCTGCGGGCCCGGCACAGACTCTGCCCATCAGCTGGGGCTCTTTCAAAGCGAGGTGAAGTACAGGAAGCCAGCGGGGGACTCAAGTCCTACCATTGGGTCCCCAGCCTCCTGGAGGCCAAAGACCCAGTGAAGTGGCCTCTCTGTGCCCCCCACACACCCTCTTGTCCGTATGTTAGGGGGAGCAAAGGCCAGACCCGTGCTCTTCACAGGGAAGGGAGGGGCCCCACCTGCGTGAGCACATAGTCCTTCTGGGTTAGCTTCCAGATGATTTCAAAATGATCCACATCCTGGAGTTCTTCGAATGAGGCATTCCACCCTCCTCTGCACAGTGTCTGGGTAGAGAAGAGGGCAAAGCAGAGGCATGAAGGAGCAGGGCAGGGACGTGCCACGCAAGCCTGGCCCATAGCAGGTACTCGCTCGGTCTTTGCTGAATAAATGGCTGAGGGTCTTGGGGTCCCTTTGGGTGAAATAGAGAGGAAGGTCATGAGAGCGCATGACCCTCAACCTCTGGCCAGAAGCGGGATGCTGGGGGTACCTGATAAAATTCCCTGGATTGTCGGAAGAATTCGGGGGAGTCATACTGGCCCACAATCACCAGCACCCGGCAGGCGGGGTCCACGGGCTGCACCAAGGCCGCCTCCAGGATCAGCTGCGGGCTGTTCCTCCGGGCATCCTCCCTGGGGCGGGGGCAGGCGTGGGTCAGGACCGAGAGAAGCCTGTGCATCACCCCTGGCCTGCCTGGTGGGCTCAAGCTCAGCTGGGGACGGAGGGGACGAGTGACTCACAGCGTCATGAGGAGAGGGATGTTCTGAGAGGTGAACACGATGGGCTCCAGGTCATAGATCCCACTTACCAAGAAGAAGCCTGTGAAGGTGAAGAACGGTTCGAGGGCCAGGCCCCAGGTGGGGCCAAAGCTCCACCCATACCAGGCTTCATGCAGGCACCGGGTGGGCTAATGTGGGGTCAGCCCAGCCTCCAGGGTCAAAAGGGCAAGACCAGGGTAGGGGCAGAGAAGAAGCAAAGATGAGCCCAATTCACGGGGCTCCAGGCCCCCAGGCCAAGCGGTTCATGGTTGTTGGGGTTTTGTGCAGCCGGTGCGACCCTCGGGCCCATGTGGGTGCGGCGAAGGTGGCTGCCGGCCCGCAGTCCCATGGAAACCTTTGAGGTTGGGTGTGACTCCGTGCTTGGTCCAGCTGGCCAGGAGCATCATGGCGGCGAGGTGGGCCCCGGCTGAGTGTCCGCACAGGTAAATCCCCCTGGGATGGGTCAGAGCAGAGAGGTGGATTTGCGTTCAGTTTCCTGAACGCGTCAGGTCAAGATCAAGGAGTCCCGGCTTGGCTTCTGCTCCGCAGGCCGGAGGGAGCTACTGGGCTGCGTCCAGCGGGCAGAATCCAGCGTCCTCCCACGTTGTGTGACAACAGGAAAATCTGTAGTGACACCCACCTGTTGTGTGGATACTGCTTCTGGATAAACACGACACTCCGGGCCACTTGGTCTACCATCTGGTCCAGGGTACCTGCACAGAGAGCACGAGCTGGGATCCGTAGGGGGCGCTCTTTCCTCCACAGGCCACCAGCCTTCAAACCTGCAAGACCATCCCCGTTACCTTTGGGGGCTATGTCATAACCCACGACCACCACGGCCACTCCCTCTGCTGTCACTGGGTTGACCGTGAAGGCTGATGTATCTTTACTGCAGAAAGAGACAGAGATGCAGTTAAGGATCCCGAGGTGAGATCATCCACGACTTAGGATGAGCCTAAATCCCAGGACTGGTGACATTATAAGAGAAGGCAGGGGGGTGGGGGGAGAGTGATCTGAGACCCGGATGCAGAGGAGGCCCCGCGAGGCTGGAGGCAGAGACTGGGGTGAGGCAGCCACCGCCAACGAAAACCCAGAGCCCCCAGCCGCTGGAAGACGCAGGGGTGGGTTCTCCCCTGGCGCCTCTGGAGGGAGCAGGGCCCTGCCCACGCCTTTATCTCAGACTTCCGGCCTCCTGGACTGTGAGAGAACACACTCTTGAGAGAACAAAGCCTCGGAGTTTGCAGCCGCAGCCCGCACGGTCTCGTACACCCGGGGACTGCGGCCTCCCCTTCTCCCTGCTCCTCCAGGCTCCCGACTCACCTTCCGCTCTGCCAGTACCCGCCGTGAAGGAACACACAGAAAGGCGAGGCTGTAAGAGACAAAGGACGTGGGGGCTGAGGCCGGGTGCCCGGCTGAGCTCTGCGGCCGGACCACCCACACATTCGCCCACCTTCAGACACTCGATCAGGAAAGTAGATGTCCAGTTTCTCCCCCTCGCCGTCCCCATAGGGGACATTCAGCAGGCTCCTGGTGGCTCGGGCCCTCTTCGTAGCTGTCTCAAGAAATAGACAAGTCGCCGTCAGCATGGCCTGCAGCAGTGTCTATTCTATTTAAGGGTGAGGGGCGCCTGGGGGGCTCAGTCGGTTAAGCATCCGACTTTGGCTCAGGTCATGATCTCGAGGTTCGTGAGTTCAAGCCCTGCATTGGGGCTGTCAGCATGGAACCTGCTTCAGATCCTCTGTTTCCCACCCCCTCCACCCTCCCCTGCTTGCTCTCTCTTTCTCTCTCTCAAAAATAAATAAACATTAAAAAAAAAAGTTTCTTGAGGCACCTGGGTGGCTCAGTCGGTTGAGCGTCCGACTTCAGCTCAGATCATGATCTCACGGTTCGTGGGTTCAGACCCTGCGTCAGGCTCTGTGCTGACAGCTCGGAGCCTGGAGCTTGCTTCGGATTCTGTGTCTCTGTCTGCCCCTCCCCTGCTCATGCTCAGTCTCTCTCTGTATCTCAAAAATAAATAAATGTAAAAAAAAACCCAGTTTACAGAAATACTATATAGCCTGATCAGTGGGACCATTCCAATACTGAACATTGGTCCTCAGAGACACGAACTTGGGACCTGTGTCCCTGGAGGTGCCCAGGTCCCCAACCTTGGTGGCCATGGAAGTGGGAGCAGAAGGAAAACAGTGCTGTTCTGGCTGGATGACTCCAGAAGGGACAAACCCAGTAGGTGAAGAGAGTTTGTACAAAGTAGGTTTAGGCAAGTGTGCGTCAACTCACTGTTACAATAGGCCATCTCCATTTCAGAGAGACCTCTCAAGGTCAAGAGAAATAAAAATGATGGTAGATGCCAAGTTTCCCCACGAGAGACCAGGCTGGCCCGTAAAACCAGTTTTGCCATCAAATCATGTCTGCTGGCCCCACACCCCCCACCTCCCATCTTGACAGTGAAAGGACCAGACAAGGCTTCTTAGGAGGGCGATGTGGCTGGCTGTGTGCTGTGTGTCCCTGCTCCCTCTCTGGTGCTGGGTGACGGTGGGGGGAGACTTCCCATCTCCTAAAGCAATCAGCTGCTCAGATCGCCTGATGTGTGACTCCTACAAGGGTCTAATGACCAGAACAAAACAGGCTTCTCGCGCGTTCTCGTGTCTGCTGCGCTGGGCACAGCTCACTCTGAAAGACATGCTTACCAGAATGGATCTAGTATTAATTAAATAAAAAATTTTAATGTTTATTTTTGAGAGAGAGAGACGGAGTGTGAGCGGGAAGGGGAGGGACGGGACAGAGAGGGAGACACAGAATCCAAAGCAGGCTTCAGGCTCTGACCTGTCAGTTCAGAGCCCAACGCGGGGCTGGAACTCACAAACTGCGAGAACATGACCTGACCTGAAGTCAGAGGCTTAACTGACTGAGTCATCGAGGCACCCCGGTCATATAAGTTTCAGCTGATTAGAACCATGAGACGGTAAGTGAATCAAAAACATATTGCATTTGTGGTTATAATCTGAAGATTTGTTAAGAATGTAATCATATCGTGTAAATTGTGTTTAAATGTTTAGAGAGATTTAATCTCTGTAAATTATGAGCTGACTTAGTTATAAGCATTAATTAAAAATATGTGGATGTCATTAATTTTTCTTATAGAGAAACAAGATGTTTGTATGGTTAAACACACACACACACACACACACACACAAGGCTTCCCATGGGCGGTGGGTGGCTCAGTCAGTTAAGCGTTCAACTCTTGATTTCAGCTCAGGTCATGATCCCACAGTCCTGAGATTGAGTCCCATGTCTACACTGACAATGCTGACAATGCAGAGTCTGCTCGGGATTCTGTCTCTCTCCTTCTCTCTCTGCCCCTCCCCCACCTCTCCAAATCAATAAATACACATTAAAAAAAAAAAAGGCTTTCCAGTGAAACGTTCCCTCACTGCCTCTCACCCGCCTGCTTCCCGGCCCCCTGCCAAGGTGTCCGCCATTTACTAACATGGATGTAGACCCTCCCAGCCTTTCGTCCAAATGGCAGCATATTAAACACATGTCTGCCTTGCCCACTTCACTTAATATTTATTGGAGAGCCTTCCCCTCCGCACATAGCTTCCCTTGTTCTTCCCTTCTTCATAGACCTTTCTTCGCTCTTAGTATTCCATCCTGTGGCTGCGTGCTAACCAGTTACGCCGGTTGCTAAAGCCAAACAAACCACACTCCAATCCATCATCGGGAAATCCTCCTGAGGTCTTCTCCCCGCCTCTACTGTGACTACCCTTGTTGGGTCCCCCTTCCCTTCCCCCCTGCAAGCAGCGGCAGCCCCTCACTGCTCTCCCACTGGCAGGGACAGGTGCACCGTGCCCTTCCCTCTAAGGCTCAAGTCCATCCGTGACCTCTGAGCTGGCTCTCTCTGCTGTAAACAAACACCACAGGGTGCAAAGGCTTAACCTACATTTACTCTTCACAGATCAGCGTCCCGGAAGGCTTCGATCCAGGCGTCAGGGGGGCTAGTGTCTGGGGATGGCCCCATCCTCGGGCGGCAGGTGGCCACCTCCTCACTAGGTGCGTGCACGTGTCTTCTCGGTGGGCCTATGGGGCTCTCAGCTTCTCGAGGGAGGCAAGCTGCCAGGTGCCTCTTCTAAGAATCCAGCCAGGTCGGGTCCCCCCCCCCCCCACTTCTGACCTCATTTCACCGAATCAGTCCAGATACAGCCCCACTAAGGGTTAAGTCTTCAACATGTGAATATGGGGAGGGCACAAAGATTCAGTCCACAGCCTCTGACACGCCACCGCCCAAAGCCCTGGAGCTCTACCAAATCAACTCTGCCCAGCACAGGGTGCTCTAGGGGCCGACCTGGCCGCCCTAACACCCCCCGTCCACCATCCGCCTCACCTGCTCCCACTTCCAGGGCGCTGGTCCCTTCTAACAGACTGCGGCATTTACTTTTGTCCCACATTCATTGTCCTCCTCCCCTACCCCATTAAGAATCCCAACAAGGGGCGCCTGGGCGGCCCCGTCGGTTAAGCATCCGACTTCCGGGCTCAGGTCATGATCTTGAGATTCACGAGTTCAAGCCCCGCATCGGGCTCTGTGCTGACAGCATAGAGCCTGGAGCTGCTTCAGATTCTGTGTCTCCCTCTCTCTCTGCCCCTCCCCTACTTGTGCTTGCACTCTCTCTCTCTTTCTCTCTCTCAAAAATAAATAACCATTTTTAAAAAGTGTTTAAACAAAAGCAAAGAAGACTTGTGTTTATTTCAAGAAATCAGGGCTTGGGAACCTGTAAGCTACTAAAGTCTCAACGCTAGCTCCCATTTCTGTCCTGTGTCCCCAAAGTGGCACACCACGATTTTCACATGCGGTGAAGCATCCGGGCCATGGTGGAGGACACAGACTCCTCGGAGGAAGTGTGAGGAAGCAGCTGGCCTCTCCCCCCGGCAGGGAAAATCGGATGTTGGCAAATCTGCTTTGTTTCCGCAGAGCAGACCGCACAGAGCCCTCAAGATGGGTGGTTCCGTAAACAGACACCATCCACCTGAAGGAACAGGCTCGAGGGGTTTCCCTCGAGCACATTCCAGCATCCTCTCTGTTCCAACAGATGTGGGGATGGAGTTGTGCCCTGGCCTCCTCAGAGTCCTCTGCTGTGCCCAGCTCTGAGCCGAAGACATCCCTATGCGTTAGATAAATATTTGAGTGTTCAGGGAAACCTACATGAGCTCAGGGAAAACCTATTTGTCTGTCGTGATTGTCTTGAGGGAGAAAATTGCTGTCCCGCTGGAGAAAGCAAGTTGCTCACAAGGGGCAGGAGCTAAGAAGAGTGTGCCGCCCATGACCTTCAGAGACTCCCTTTAGCAACTGCTCTCCACGCTGTGGACGGCTGTGTGTTCATGTTCCATCTGGTCACTCGCCTGGCCCTGATCCCTCCCAATAGCAGTGGGACGCAGGGGGAGGGATCAGGGCCAGGCGAGTGACCAAGAGGTAAGTACACACAGGCTTGGAGCCGGTCTCCACGTACAATGTGACATTCTGTTGGCCATGGACATGTAGCATTCATTATTAATTTTGATTTAAGATATACATATATATATATATATTGCATTTAAATATGATTTATCTTTGCGTTGGTCAGCTTGGGCTGCCATAACAAAATGCCATAGGATGGGTGCCTTAAAGAATAGGCGTCTGTTTCTCACAGCTCTGGAGGCTGAGAAGTCCCAAGGGCACGGTGCTGGCCAGTTTGGTTCCCTGGCTTGCAGACGCCTTGCCTTGTCCATGATGTCCTCAGATGGCAGAGATAGCGAGAGCTCTGGTCTTTCTTCCTCTTCTTTTAACAAGTTTTTATTTTTTTTTTTTTTTTAATTTTTTTAATGTTTTATTTATTTTTAGGAGAGAGAGAGAGACAGCGTGAGCAGGGGAGGGTCAGAGAGAGAGGGAGTCACNTTTATAGGAGAGAGAGAGAGAGAGACAGCGGAGCAGGGGAGGGTCAGAGAGAGAGGGAGTCACAGACTGAAACAGGCTCCAGGCTCTGAGCTGGCAGTCAGCACAGAGCCCGACGCGGGGCTCGAACCCACGAACCGCGAGATCATGACCTAAGCGAAAGTCGGACGCTTAACCGACTAAGCCACCCAGGCGCCCCTAACAAGTTTTTAAAGTTTATTTATTTTGAGAGACAGAGACAGAGAGAAAGAGCATGCATTCACGAGCAGGGGAAGGGCAGAGAGAGAGGGAGAGAATCCCAAAAGGGAGAGAATCTGATAGCACAGAGCCCGACGTGGGGCTCGAACCCACGAACCCTGAGATCATGACCTGAGCCGAAATCAAGAGTCAGACACTTCACCAACTGAGCCACCCAGGTGCCCCATCTTTGTAATTTTTTCTATTTCTTTTTTATGTGTATTTATTTTTGAGAGTAAGAGAGGGAGAGAGAGACAGAGCCTGAGTGGGGGGAGGGGCAGAGAGAGAGGAAGACAGAATCGGAAGCAGGCTCCAGGCTCTGAGCTGTCAGCACAGAGCCTGACGTGGGGCTCAAGCCCACGAACCGTGATATCATGACCTGAGCCGAAGTCAGACGCTTAACCGACTGAGCCACCCAGGCGGCGCCCCTTCTGCCTTTTATAAAGACCTACAACATCCCATGTTCAACCAAGTTGGAGGCCTTCCTTTTTTTCACTCTACTTCCCGGTGCCACTGTGACATGTGGTCTTACTGGCCTGGGCACTGTTGGCCAAGCAGGAGAGGAGGTGGAACATGGTCTATTGGGCCTTCCCTGTCCCTGGCTGTCCTGCAGCGAGGGTTCCTGGATGCCTGGCCCTGAGCCAAAGAGGCTTGTATGGCACCTGGATTTTGGGAACTATCCCGAGAGCCTCCTCCTGCCCCCAGCATTCTGAACCACTGCCGCGCACCAAAGTCCACCCACAGGATCCAAGGGGAGGGCCCCCAGTACCCTCATCCCCTATCTGTGAGTAGGTCCTCAGGGCCTCCTCGGCTCCCCGTCGTTTAACCCATCTGCTGGGGCTGTACTGATTCTCCAGCTCCTACGGAACACAGACAGAAGTTTCCATAAGGCCTTTGTTCTCCACACAACGTGCCCCCACCCCTCCGAATGCCTGCCTTGAGAAGCCCCCTCCCCCATATCTCAGGCTTTGTAGATGCCCTCGGCTTCCTTCGAGCACCCGGCATCCCGCTCCCCACTCTGCCCCCACACCAATTAATTAGGTATTTCAGATACAACATCGCAGGGGCTCTCAGACTCATCATCTAGAGCTATGGCCATGCTTTTAACTAGTGGACAGCTTTACAGGGGCGATAAGGTCCTATAAAAGGTGTCCTGGTTAATGCCACCATAGGCACCACTCCTTCTGCAGGAGACCAGGGAGCTGGGGAGGTCACCACAGAGAAAGAGGCCACGGTTGACCGCAGGAGGGCACAGAGCAAAGGTACAGAGCTCAGCGGGGGGAGGGGGGATCAAAGGTCAGTTCGGAGATATTGATGGGCCAGACTGCTGAAACACAGAGGTGGGGCTGGGACGCTGGGGCTGGAAGACGGAGGGTCTCACCTCTCAGGCTAAGATGTTCAGACTTCACGCAGAAGGTAACAAGAACCAGGTTTTGGAGCAAAAGCTCAAAGGCAAGGAGAAAGGGTGAAGCCCAGAATGGGAAATTGGAAGACAGGTGGCTTCACGGAAGGGTCTTGGGCTCTGGAGTCAGATAGATTGAAGGCCATCCATGCTCCGTCACATATAGGCTGTTTTACCCTGGGCAACTTACTTACAGTCTCTGGGTCTCAGTTCCCACATTGATATAATGGGCAAAAGAGCAGCCTCACAAGGGTCAAGGACATTAGGCGTATAAATGAAGTAAAACCAACTATTCAAAATGTGGGTTACTGCCTCCTCCAGTTGAACAAGTTTCTTGGCCAGCGTTCTTTAGACCTGTACACTGTGTCTGATGGACATTTACAGCCACGCACTGTGACTGCCATCATCATCTTTACTGTTCTTATGTACGATGATCAAAATGCAACGGGTTTCTGAGAGTCCTCTGATATCGTAGGCAAAGTGTTCCGTGTGTGACAGAGAGACGGAGACAGAGATTGGGATTTCTTGGGGGAGGGAGGCAGCAGCCATAACTTATCAGATTCTCAGCTGTATCAGTGACCAGGAAAAAAAGAAACGAAAACCAAAAACAAACACTGCCTCTAATGCATGCGGGGGGGGGGGGGGGCTAGTTAGGAAGTGTCAGGTGAATGATAATCACAGCACGCGCGTTGCGGGTGTGGTTTCCAGCCCTCACAACCACCCTGCGGCAAACACCGGCCCCCGCGTCCGTCGGCCTCGGGCACATCCCCCACCTGCACTGTGGGACCTTGCGCCTGAGGTCGGGATCGGTGGCCCCCTTTATGGATATCAACACAGCTTCGGTACCCTCTACCCTGAAAAGCTTGCCTGTGGCCAGGAGCAAACGAGACGAGGGCGCTCACCGGCGCGCCCAGGGGTGCTGGGTGTATGGACTCCTAAGCTCCCCCCTTGGAGCTGCATCCAATCCGCGCCAGCCGCCGCCTGCGGCCCGCCTACCTCCTTAGACAGCTTCCTCCAGGGAGCCGCGACCCGGTGACACCTGCCGGGGACGTCCATCCCGCCGCTACCGCGGGACGGCGCTCCCTACGCCTTTTCTACGCGACGGGCGGGGCGGGGCCGGCGGTCCTGGTGACGTCAGCCCGCCGGGTCCCCGGGACCGCCCACGAGGGGCGGCGTGCGGTCAAATCTCCCGCCAGTCCGCGGCCGCACGCTGATTGGCTCCGGGGCGCCGACGCCGGCTCCCGATTGGCCAGCACGCCGGGTATAAAGGCGGGAGGCGCGGGAACCGGAGCCGGCAGCTGAGGGTCCCTGCGTTGTGAGCTTCCTAGAGGCAACATGAGCTGCATCAACCTACCCACCGTGCTGCCCGGCTCCCCCAGCAAGACCCGGGGGCAGATCCAGGTACGGGCGCCGGGGCGGGGTCCCAGCACGCGGGGGCGGGAGCGGGGTGGGGGTCGTGGCCGGGCGTCCGTGCGCAGTGGACTCCGAAGTGACCCCGCTTTCTTTCCTAGGTGATTCTAGGACCCATGTTCTCAGGAAAAAGGTAATGGCCTCGCGGGGCCGCGGCGAGCCGGGACCACCGGCTCCTCCATCCCTCCATCCCGAGGGCCTGTCCTTACCTGGCGCCTCTTGCGGGCCTGACCCCGTCCCGGACAGCCTCCCTGGGACAGCCCCCCGGGTCAGCTGCCGTCGCGCGACCGCGCTTTCCCGCCCGGGATGCGGCTCCGCCCTGGGATCCGGCCCGCCCAGTTTAGGCCCTCCCACGAGGGTCCGATAACCGCTCGCTCCTTCGCGCAGCCGGGGTAGAGCTGCCGCCCTCAGCCCCTCACTAAAACCGTCTCAGAAAGAGGCAGCCAAGTCTTCTGATGTTTTGGGTTTTTTAAATTTTTAAGTATTTAAAAAATGTTTAATGTTTATTTTTGAGAGAGACAGAGCGTGAGTGGGGGAGGGGCAGAGAGAGAGGGAGACACAGAACCAGAAGAAGGTTCCAGGCTCCGAGCTGTCAGCACAGAGTCGGAAGAGGGAGGGGAGAGGGGGGGCTCGAACCCACAGACTGTGAGATCATGACCTGAACCAAAGTCGGTCGCTTAACCGACTGGGGCATCCAGGTGCCCCTTAAAATTTTAAGTGTTTTAGGTTTATTGTAGTTATTTCTTTTGAGAGAGAGTGAGCATGAGCAAGGGAGGGGCAGAGAGAGAGGGAGGGAGAAAATTCCAACCAGGCTCCAGATCATCATCGAGGGGCCCAGTGTGGGGCTCCACCTCACCACCCAGTTGCCCCTAAAATTTTAACGCTAAGGAGTCCTGCCAGGGCACCTGTTCTCCCCCGATGTGACAGGACCATTAGCTGACCTGGGTGGGCTAATGAGACCCCGAAGTCCCTGCCTCCGCCCTGGGGACAGCCGCAGGGGCGCTCCGGTGGGATCCGGTGCTGAAGTGCTTTATCTTTTGCACAAAGAGATTTGGTGAAGTCAGGTCAGACTGTGTGAAGACCTCTGGGTGAGATTACTTTGGAATGCGAGCTGGACCCCTCTCCCCTGCCTGTGGCCTTTGCCTGGACCCGCCTTGCCACCCTCCACGTGGAGAACATGTCCCTCTCAGGTCTAGACAGAACTCTCAGAGCATGGGCCCCGTCTGTCCTCACTGGCCTTGCCGTCCATTGGCGGGTCTCGGGCTGCAGACCCCTAGAAGGTGGTGGGGAGCCCTGCTTGTACTGATAGAGTCTTCTTTGCCCGTTCTTAACCACTGTGCTCTGCTCTTGCAGCACCGAGCTGATGAGGCGGGTCCGTCGCTTCCAGATCGCCCAGTACAAGTGTTTGGTCATCAAGTATGCCAAAGACACTCGCTATAGCCACAACTTCTCCACGCACGACCGGTCAGTTCCTGCTCTCTCCTGCGCTGTTTTAACACCTCTGGAAGCCGGTGGAAACTCACAGGACCATAGACCATAACTGCTAGAGCCTTCTCTAGAAGGAATGGTGGCCCCAGCCAATGCCCGGCATTGAAACTTGCAACTTTTGAGGGCTGCTTGGCAAGGGGTCTCAGGACTTGGCCTTTCACTTGGCCTTCCCCGTGTTTTTTCACCAGGGGAGATTGTGCCCCCCCTTCCCCTCCCCAGAGTCCATCTGGCGATGTCTGGGGATGACGTATTTCTTTTTCACGGCTGGAGCGGGCCAGGGTGTGCCATCTGGTGGCTAGAACATCCCACCGTGCCCAGAACGGGCCCCCATGGCAAATATTGATCCTGCCCCAGTTGTCAATAGTGCCGCACCCGGGTTGAGGCTCCTTGCTCTGGAGGTGATGCCCGTGACGGCTGCAAGTCGGTTTTGTTTGGCCCACACGGTGCTGTTTTATTTAACGTTTCAGTTGTCCAGCCCTGGCTGGTTCCCTGGCGCCCCGTGGCTTGCGCGCAGCCGCGTTCTGTGTTTATCTGCCCGCACCGCAGGAACACTTTACTCTGCGACCTGAGGTCAGGGATGGGGGGTGAAACTTAGTTAGAATCGTGCCCTTTTCCTCGGCTGCAGACTGGGGCCTCATACTTCTGAGCCTGAGACATCGTCTCTGTCCTTGGACTTGTCCGCCTGGGGGGAAGGCAGGGTGGGAGCCTGGGGTTTTTCTGAAGCCAGACTGGGGGGCGGGACAGGGGGTGTGGACGGTGCCCCGGATTTGGGGCTAAGTGTCAGGATTTGCATGACCAGTGCTTCCTGGCCACGCTATTTGACGCAGGTCACATACGTCTTCCAGTTTGCTTCTTCCTCCTTTTTTTTTTTTAATGTTTATTTCTGAGAGAGAGAGAGACAGAGTGTGACCAGGGAGGGGCAGAGAAAGAGGGAGACACAGAATCGAAGCAGGCTCCAGGCCCCGAGCTGTCAGCACAGAGCCCGATGCGGGGTTCGAACTCATGAACTGTGAGATCATGATCTGAGCCGAAGTCGGATGATTCACCGACTGAGCCACCCAGGCGCCTCTGCTTCCTCCTTCTTAAAACGTGGTGTCTGCTGCTGCACAGGGCAGGAGAGCATCCTGGGAGGCCCATGAAAGCAGAGGAGGCGGTGCTGTGCAGTGAGAAGTCCCTCAGGTCAGGGTCATGTCTGAGCTCTGCCTGCCTGAGCACAAACGCTGTCTTGGGCTGCAGAGGCTGGGACTGAGCCCCTGGCAGGTGTGACAGCTCCAGACACCCTACCCTTGCCCGCCCTCTGGTTTTCTCTATTTGGGGATGGGGGGGGGATTTAAAATGCAGGAAACACCATTTCTTGCTCTTACCAGATCGTGGAGTAGAATTATAGCAAGGTTATAACTAAGCAGTGGTTGTATTTTATTTTTTTCTAAATACAGCTACAAGCTGCTGAGCCTTAGTAAAGTACCAGCCCCCTAGAAAGCTAGTTGAGGGGGTGCCTGGGCTGCTCAGTCTCTTAATTGTCCAACTTCAGCTCAGGTCGTGATCTAGCAGTTTGTGAGTTCGAGCCCCATGTCGGACTCTGTGCTGACAGCTCAGAGCCTGGAGCCTGCTTCGGATTGTGTGTCTCCCTCTCTCTCTGCCCCTCCTCCACTCTCATTCTCTCGCTCAAAATAAATAAACATTAAAAATTTTTTTAAAAAAGGCTATTTGAGGAGCAGGGAAAGTGAGCAGAATAGAAAACAACATTGTCGAAAAACACAGAGACACTATTTAAAAAGACAGAGGACAGAGAATGGCATTTCTCTTCAGAATGGGCCCTGGGTGTGGGAGCAAGATTGGGTCCACTGTGTCGTCCGATGCCCTGGAACATTCCCACACGTGACCTTTCCCTTTCAAATCCTTCTGGATACGACTCCCCTGCAGGGCACACGAGGCAGCGACGTGACCTTGGATGTGAATCTTGGCCCTGCCGGTTAACAGCCCTGTGAGCTCAGAGAAACCCTTTAATCCGCCAGAAGAGCCAGATGGAGGGAATTCTAGAAAGCTGCAGGTTGGGGTTTCAGGCTTCTCTCTGCCAGGACACACAAGGCTCTGAGTCTGGTGCTCACGCTCAGCCCGGGGCCACGGTGCCCTTTCATGGGCCCCTCCTGCCATAAAAAGAAGTAAAAAGTTATAGTTTATGATTGCATTGATCTAAAGACAGCTATAATGCAGGCTGAGTTATAGTTACTTAATTCTTTTTTCTCATTTCTTTTTTTTAATGTTTATTTTATTTTTGGGAGAGAGAGAGAGAGCACCAGTCCAGGAGGGGCCGAGAGAGAGACACACACACAGAATCCGAAGCAGGCCCCAGGCTCTGAGCTATGAGCACAGAGCCCGACATGGGCTCGAACCCACGAAGCGCGAGATCATGACCTGAGCCGAAGTGGGAGGCTCAACCGACTGAGCCACCCAGGCACCCCATCTTTTTTCTCATTTCTAAAGCAAATTCAAGCATTTTGTCTGCTCCGGCCCCGCTAAACAGAAGTGGAGAGGAGCTCTGGAGTCTCAGTAAAGCTCTGTATCGCACGTTGCTAGTTTCTAGCCCAAAGCATCCAGTGAAATAGCTTGTGTTGAATAACTGGTTTTCCTTTTTTTTTTATTAAAAAATTTTTTTAATAGTTTATTTTTGAGACAGAGACAGAGCACGAGTGGGGGAGGGGCAGAGAGAAAAGGGCAGACACAGAGTCTGAAACAGGCTCCAGGCTCCGAGCTTTTGGCACAGAACCTGATGTGGAGCTCAAACCAACGAACCACGAGATCATGACCTGAGCCAAAGTTGGATGCTCAACTGACTGAGCCCTCCAGGTGCCCCTGAATAAATGGTTTTCTGAACACGGGGCGGTCCTTGGGGCTGTTCCCCGGCCCCTGCATTCCAGCCTCCGCTCCCTTGCTTTGCTCACAGCCTGGCTTTCTCTCCCCAGGAACACCATGGAGGCACTACCAGCCTGCCTGCTCCGGGACGTGGCCCAGGAGGCCCTGGGTGTGGCTGTCGTGGGCATCGACGAAGGGCAGTTTGTAAGTTGGTGTGTCCTGGCATTCTGCCCACAGGCTCCCTGTCTGGCTGTCCCCCCTTGTCTTCTGCTGGCTTGGAGCATATTCGTTCTATTTGTCGTCTTTTTTCTTAAAAAAAAATTTTTTTAAATGTTTACTTTTGAGAGAGAGGCAGAATACGAGTGGGGGAGGGGCAGAGAGAGAGAGGGAGACACAGACTCCAAAGCAGGATCCAGATTCTGAGCTGTCAGCACAGAGCCCGACACGGGGCTCGAACTCATGAACCGTGAGATCATGACCTGAGCTGAAGTTGGACGCTTAACCTATTGAGCCACCCAGGCATCCTGGTTATTATTATTTTTTACTGTTTGTTTATTTTTGAGAGAGACAGAGTGCGAGCAAAGGAGGGGCAGAGAGAAAGGGAGACAGAATCCGAAGCAGGCTCCAGGCTCTGAGCTGTCAGCACAGAGCCTGACACAGGGCTCGAACTCAGAAACCGCGAGATCATGACCTGAGCCAAAGTTGGATGCTTAACCAACTGAGCCCCCCAGGCGTCCCTCAAAGGGTCTGTTTTTCATTTCTGGGATTTCTGGTTAGTTCTCTTTGTGTAACTCCTGCTCTAATTCACACATCCTCATTTTTGTTTGGGAATTTACCGTTTTTGTTTGATTGTTTTGGCTGTTGCTGTTCCTTGTCTTTCTGACAATCTTGTGTTACAGGCTTTTCCAGCTCGTTCTTTCCCTCGCTTCAGGAGTGCACTCTCTGGCTGAGTCTGCCGGTTGTCTTTTGTGGTCTTGGTTTCTCTCATGTGCTTTGGGATTTTTTTGTTTCTGCAAGTGCACCTTGAATGAAGGAAACTGTAACTCCCTCCCCAAGGGGCTCACTTCAGCTCTCCGGAGAGTTCTGGGTGCCTCTGCTCCCGCCCAGTACATTTGGAGGGTAACGTGAGCTGCTGTAACAAACAGCCCAAAATTCCAGCAGCTGAATATGACGACTTTATCGCGAGTCAGTGATGGGGAGTCTGCCGACAGGGCTTCTACAATTTCCCCGGGTGGGCGCGTCCAGACACGGGAATTGGGAAAAGGTGGAGGGTCCCCTGTGTGGGGCTGCGTGTCTGGAAGGCCTTGCCTCTGCTGATCTGGCCACTAGAATTTGGGCACATGGTCCCCTTTACTATTTCCCTCTGTGCCCTGAAGTTCTTCTGTGTGTTTGGTGAGTGGTTAGTGACTGTTGCAGAGAGAACGCACAGCGTGGGAACCAGGGACCTCCCGCAGGGGGTTGGGGAGGGCTTGGGGCTTGTGTGTGGGAGGGTCATTCCAGGAAGGCTTTTAAGAGGCTGGGTTGGCTCTAGATTCGGACCCCTCAGGAAGGGGGTGACTCTGACCGGCATCCTCAGCCTTCCCTCTGGGGAGGAGGGGGGACCAGGAGCTGGAGTGGTCGCTCCCACTGGGCAGGAACCTGTGGTCCTCTGGAGCCTAGTCAGCGTTCACGTGTGTCCCTGTGCTCCAGACGGGATTGCGGAGCGTCTTGTTTCTATCCTGACCCATCCCAGGCGAGGAGTGGCCCTGCTGGACGCTAGGGTTGCGTGACACTAATCACGCCCTGCGTGATGATGCCAGGCCCCGCTGCGAGTGCCAGGCCGACTCCTGCTGTGAGGACTGCCCTTCTCCTTTTGCCATCCAGAAAAGCCAACGGAAACCCACCACGTGGTGGTCTGCGGTCCATCTAGTCTTTCTAGACGTCTATTGCTCAGTAGCATGAGCTTCATCGGGTGTTAGATGCACGCGATGGATTGTGGAGATCTGCTCCCAAAGCCAAGACCACACTGTACCCACTGTGTCCAGCTAACTGGATGATGAGTTGTTCATAAATAATAAATAAATAAATAGAGGGGGCTTCTATCTCATGGTTGATCGTTTACCCATGTCAGCAAATGTACCATATTTGTATCATTCCTAAGTATTCTCTGGGCTTGTGTCCCTTGCCAGCAGTGTTCTCAGTGTGTGTGTGTGGGGGGGGGGGGGGGGGGGGGG